GTTGCCGAATCTATCAAAGATGGTACCTTGATCCTCGTGACGCGGTCACCAGCTCTTCACCCCGGCGACATCCAGCAAGCCATGGTGAGAATACCGCCCGCAGACCATCCCCTACGGAATCTTCGCAACTGTATCGCGTTTAGCCAATGTGGAGAGCGCGACTTGCCTAGTCAACTTAGTGGCGGTGATCTTGATGGCGATTTGTATAACATTATCTGGGACCAAGAGGCTACACCACGAGTGGTATGCGGAGCTGCCGACTACCCCAGAGTAACACCGAGGCCACTCGGTCGACCGGTAACGAAAGAAGACATGGCCAACTGGTTTGTTGACTTCATGAAGTCTGACGTACTCGGTATGATTGCCACCAGACATCTCATTCTCGCGGACAAAGACCATGATGGCACGGCGAGCTCGGACTGTATCAAACTAGCCAGCTTGCATTCAACCGCTGTAGACTTTTCGAAGACGGGTATCTCAGTCACGCGGGAAGAAATCCCAAAGGCACCCGTCTTTCGTCCGGACTTGTAAGTATAGACTGCAACTCGATTGAGCTTACTAATACTGACACTGTCTCACAGCCTTGCTCCCGCTCCGCCCGCTCAGCTGTATGATCGAACGCACATCGACTTCCTCGGTAAAGACGAGGCAGTCGACGACGATGACGACGGTTTCGCACCAACGTACCGATACTATAAATCAGACAAGGTTCTCGGCGAGCTCTATCGCAATGTCGACGAAAAGCAGATTTGGGATGAAGAGATCAAGAGAGCCATTGCCAAGACGGGCCCCTCGGTTTGGGATCAATTTGTTGGCCTGATACAGCGAAAGATCCAGGACTATACTCATGGGCGAGTGAGTTGGGAAACAAAGCTCAAGGAGGCGAAAAGTTTGCGAGACGTGTGAGTTGCCCTGTGACATATGGTGTAGCAACTTCCAGGACTTTCCCCGCTGACTCTCACTACAGATACGAAGATCACCTCTTCAGTGCCATGACGACGTATTCCGACAGTCACTTGAAGCAGTTGACAGAAGTCGAGGTGTTCTGCGGCTCAATCTTTAATAAGACCGGCGCGCAGACTCGACGTCAGAAGGACAACTCGATGAAGCTTAAGCAAGAGTTCGATCGAGTAGCCGACCTCATGGTGCAACAAATGCGGCGCAGATTCCGCAATGCTGCAGATCAGGCTTCCCAAACTGCTGATATCTACAGCAACCCCGCACCACGAGGTACCAGCCAGGTTGACGATGACCTGGAACGACTCCTGGCACCGAACAAGGATGCGCTAGAGATGTCGTACGCTTGCTTCATGGTGGCATTGCTGCCGAGTACCGACACCGAGCGCGGACATCGAGCATCGCAACTGGATAGTTTCAAAGTCATTTCAGCAGGTGTCCTACTCAAAGAGCTCACGGAGCTTGCGAATCGCGTGAAGGGTGGCAAACTAGTCGACCCCAGTAATGATGACGCCGCGGGTGGCGGCTTTGTTGGTGTCACTGGTGGGCCAGCCACGTCGTACGCGTACAGTGGCTATGATGTGGATGTCGGACAGTATCCAAACTACGGATATAGCCATCATATATAGAGTATAGTAGCTGTGGGCGCTAGACCGCGATATGATTCACAAGCTGTTATACGACATCAGGGCTGGATATTTGGTGCGCTCTCGTCGAAACTTCAAGCAAGGTGTGGTCCGCGCCCAGTTCAGTCCTTTGCCATTCTCATGTTTAAGTATTTCAAATCTGAAAGTTCCACTTACTTGCAAGTTGCCTATCGTAATTACCGGAACAATCGCAACTGACCACCTTCCACGGCGATACACTCTTCGCCTAAGGTACGGCAAGCGCATGTTTAGAAGCTCCCAAGCTTGCAGTCATTCACAGGCACGCTCGGCTGTGGTTTCTTGTAATTTGCAGATCACACCCGGCGGGATACTCTTCATAAGCAAGACCTCGCGCGGCTGGTATGTGTAATGACGACACCGGGGATCGTTACAATAGCTGGGGGCAGTCGAAGACCGCAGCGCATTTAAGGATTGTTTGAGCGACGATGACGGACAGTTCCGTAGCAGGCTGGGACTTTTCATGACTCGACTTCGTCTTATCCTCGGAATCCGCTGGTCCCAGACCCGTGCCATCACGGGAGCCAAATCTAGCATCCGTGGACCGAATATTCTAGCTTCATGACCTTAAATCATTGCCTACTTCCCGCTTCAAGCTTATCCGTATTACCCTTTGCCATGTCGGAAACCCCAACTGCTGACGAAGATGGACCTTCACTTCATATCATCCTGTGGCCAACTTAAGCAAGGAAATTGTGTTAGATAAACCGAGGTCCAAGCACCGCACGGATAGGCACAATGCAAGGAATAGAGGACCTATCCCCCTTCTCCCCCTTCCATTCGTTTCGTCGTGCTGGTCCTTGCGGCAGAGCAGTCGGCCCAAAGTCTAAGTTCATCCGCCATGCTTTATCCTCGTCCACACCATTCTGCCATCGAACAAAAGTAGGGAGCTAACCGCGGGGTCAAGTTTCTCGGGTCTCGGGACATGGTAACCCTGCCTACCTTTGGCCGCCAGAGGAACTTCACGGCTCACTTCAACTACGTTGGAAACTTTCAAGGTCAGAAGAAATTCATGCACACGTGGTGAGAAGTTCTCCAATTGTCGGGCGAACCCGCCTCCATGGCAGAGAAGCTGCTTGCTGGCCAAAGCTTCAGGATCGCCGACCGGCACCCCAAACCTTTTTTTCCCACTCTTCCACCTCGACAGACTTTCGGCACTTTGGCGGGGCTAGTTTCGACCCCCCTTTCTGCGTCACAGCTTTCAAATGGCACCTGGCGCCTTTGTTGTTGATATTGGATTTGGACCATCTCATACCTTGCCCTGATGCCGTTTGGCAGGTAACTTGAGCTGAACACATACGGTGGGGCCATGCGCGATCATGAATCGATACAGAGTCAGCAAGCCAAGCGGGCCCCATAGCAAGTCATCGCCTGGGCGACGACGATGTCTGTCGTGCCGCAAATTGCCGGCCGCGGTAAGTGGAGCGAAAACGCGACTTGGGATGATACGAGGAAACGGTCGTTGACGAGTATCACAGTGCGATTGCCGGCAATCGCGGCGTGCGAGGGAAAGGTCACAATCGAGTTCCGCAACCTCATCTATGAGTGAAAGCTCACCGACCACCAATGCGACCATTGAGTCAAAGATCACAACGCCAGGATGTCTGAGTTCGATGCCTGGAAGTTTGGAGCCTTTACCGGCTGATATCACCATGGCTTTCTTCGCGTTCGTAGGCGATTCACCATCACCAATGACCGATATCTTTTCGCTTTCATTCATGCGGACGTATCTCGACACGTCAATACCAATCCGTGCCGTCGTGACGACAATTGGCAAGATATGCCTGGAGTACTCCAAGACTACAGCCTTGGAAAAGAAACAAAAGGCAGCAGCATCGATCATAGCCCAGGACCGATATAAGCTGAAGGAGTTCCTGGACGTTCTCACATCTCCTGGGAGCAGTGATCAGCACTTGATGTTGTTGTACGGGATCTTGATGGCTTATGCAGAGGTGCGTTGAATCTCGAGCCCCCAGAAATTGCAACGCATTTTCTATGGTACCTATCGGACTCAGAGCTGACTGTAATGGCTTCAAATAGACAATGACCGGCCAGTCATGGCTCTTCTTCCAAGCCACAATGAGAAAGCTTACGAGCAAAGTCCAAGATCAGGTCCAACAGCGAAAAAGAGCACCACTTCTGTATTTCGACAAAGGGTTGCTGATGAACTACTCCCTGTTGGCAACTTATCACTGTCTAGTCTCGTTCGAGGACACGTTTCTTGTCGATGTCGAGCTCTATGATCCAAAGCCTTTCGAAAATATCGATGCGATTACTAGCCAAGTACGCATCAACTCTGCCATATTACACCACTACACAAAATATGTAGCACATTTCGCGCGACTGCACCATAAGTAAGAAATTCATTTCTCAGGGACATGAGTTGAGTGTTGTACTAGTAGCTAACAATTCTAAACAGGGCAACGAAGTGGGTGCGACAAGCAAGACACGTATTAAATGACCGCCATATAGCTGCAGAACCGCCACCTCACGAAGAGCTCAAGGCGGTACTATTGGAAGCCGGGCTACTGCAGCAGGGATTAGAAATCATTGAAAATTCTGCAGCGGTCATCGACGTGATGGAGAATCTTCGGGGAGAGAGATACGATGACAGCGACCAAGCGGACAAGACCGACTTCAGCATTTTGCGCGAGGCTTTCTACCACTTCTCGCTTATGGGTATAACACGGACCTTTTGGGACCCGGCATGGAAACTCATCGACGAGGATTTACCGCACATGACAGACATGCCGGATCTTGAGGGGCATGGGCTCTTCGTTCTTGAGAGACTAGAGCAACGGACTCCTGTTGTCGGACTAGAATCGTGGAGCTACCTCGTTGTTCTCATGGGCATTGCCCTTGAGGCTAAGAAAGGCGATATCAGGCAACGAGTGGATGTCCTGCTCAACGACATTCTGGGCAAAGGCTTTGCAATCGCCGGGGCTTTGTTGACTGATGTGAGGATGATTTGGGGAATGGATTATGCATCCGGACACGAATGCATTGGGCCTAGCTCATGAGGGAAGATTGGTGGAGGCGAACATTGCTTACACAACTCAAATCAAGCCAAAATACCCAAGAAGCAAGTGCTAGTAATTCAATGTACATTACAAGACCACAAATAATGCCAATGTCACGGTAAGATCTGATAAAAAAGAGGATTTCTAGCCAATCAATCGATTTCCCGCACAACACCGCCTTGTCGGTTTTACTCAGTTCCCGCTTGCCAAGTTATACATGAATTGCCGACGGGATACAGTTCCGACCGTGATGTGATGCTTTTTACTCGCGACGGATAAATCTTTATACTGGTGAAACAAGTGGCTTCAACTTCATATGTAATTCAATTGGCTGACATGACGTAATGTTGTTCAGACCCTCCCCCGCATTGAAAGTCCCGCAATCGGCGTTCAAGAACGAATATCAAAACAGAATGACAACCGAACTGAGAGCCTCAAGACTAATTCAGACAGTTTCCCGGTATCTCAAGCAATTTTATCATCGTTTTCGTTCACAATGGCACCTCCTGTCTGCAAAAAGACGTTCAAGCTGAACAACGGTACGAGACTCATCGCGCGACGAGAGATAAGATGCATCCCATGAGTGTTCATGAGCTGACCAGCCTTCTCCAGGCCTTGAACTCCCCGCCGTCGGTCTGGGAACATGGCAAGGTAAAGACAGCCCCCATACCGAACGCGTTCCACAGAGTCTGACAGCCCAAAGGCACTCCAGGGTCAGATGACTCCAAGGCCATGGAGGAGTCCGTCATACACGCCCTCAACGCCGGATACCGTCTCATCGACACCGCCCAGCTCTATGGTGTCGAAGACATTGTAGGCAAGGCCATCCGCAACAGCGGCATCCCCCGTGAAGAGATCACCGTCGTTACCAAGTTCTGGGGTGAGTGGCATCACGACCCGGCGACGGCGCTTCAGATTTCACTGGACACCATGGGCCTCGACTACATTGACGTCTTCCTCATGCACTGGCCGTGGGCCACGACTCCGGCACCGGAGAAGAAAGTCTTGAAGAAGTGGGAGAGCCCGACCTTCATCGAGACCTGGAAGTTGATGGAGAAGCTGGTCGGTCCCAAGTGCAGGTCAATCGGCGTCAGCAACTTCATGCCCAAGGTCATGGATGAGCTGCTCAAGGAGGCCGCGATCGTGCCTGCTGTCAACCAGGTCGAATTGCATGCGTTCAACCCGAACCTGAACCTCGTACCCTACTGCAAGGAGAAGGGCATTGTTGTCACGAGTTGGAGGTGAGCATCTCCAATCCATTGAACCAGGGAAACACTGCCACGTTGAAAAGAATGTATGGGACGCTAAACGAAACAGCACGATGGGTGGCTCGCGTCCATCTCAAAATGAGATTCTCAACCACGAGCTCTTCACCAGCATCGCCAAGGCACATGGTATCTCCGCAGGCGTTGTGTCCCTTTCCTGGTGCGTCCAGCGCGGTATCGCAGTCATCCCAAAGAGCGCCAAGAAGGAGCGCATCGAGGAGAACATCCGCCTCGTCACCCTTACCGAGGAGGAGATGAACAAGATCAACGAGGCGCACAAGACAATCAAGAAGGAGAGATTCTCCAACGGCATTGCAGTGCAGCACATGGAGATTGATGGAGTGATGACCCAACAGGGTTGGACGTACACCGATATGGGCTACGAGGATGAGAATGGCAACTGGTTGGCGTAAAATGAATGGATGCTAGAGCGTTGCTTGAGGTTAAGGAGCGCAGGGATTCGGTGTAAAGCCCAAATGAAAACTGAATACATATCCGCCGCTCCAGTCCAAATTTCATCCGTAATCCCGTTGATCGTATCAATACGCTTACAAATCTATGGGTCGTTTGCTCATGCTGTACGCAGAGCCAAGCCTATGCTTTCGTCACCGAAAACGCCTATAACTCTTCATGTCAGCGGAGTTAGACTAAAACCGGGGAGGCAGCCAACTCTAGGTGCTGCTGCACTAACGTACGCAACATGGCTAGGCCCTTGCGCACCGACCCAATGAGACCCCTTCTACGAGCATCTTTACGTTTTTTACAGATTAAAAACTAATCACTATAAACTAACACGGAGGTGCTGAAAACTTGGATAGCTCAGATGGAATAAAGCGAGCTGCCTTTTGACGGGCCGACTTACGCATAGTCCGTCGCGTCCAAGATAAAGCAAGTGAGTGAACTAAGCCAAGCCATGCTTGGCAATAGCACTGTCTGAATCGGGGAGTGGGCCGCTAGCGTCGCAGCGAAAAGCATAAAGTCAACCACAGCAGCCTCTTCATCTTTCTACTAAAAACTTCCCCTCAATATCCAGAAAATTGAACAGCCCGGAATCAGTAGAAGCCGCCAGAATGGCCGGGTCACATCAAGAACAGGAGCTATCATTGAAGAGGACAGGATCCTCCTCAGCGTCAGAAATCATTCAAGTATCATTAGGACAATTACCAGCGCAAAGTGAAGCCCTAGAATCGGCAGAAGATTGGACTGGCCTGACATCAAGCAAAGAGCGGAGGAAACTTCAAAATCGACTGAACCAGAGAGCACGCCGTTAGTCCACCCTGTATTCCTTGACTTACCAAAAGTTATTGAACACGGTCTAACTGAATGGTGTGCATCTAGGCAGAAGAATGAAGCAAGAAGTGTTTCGTCAAATGAGTCAACTAGAGGGAGTAATAAATGACACCATAGCGGAAGCAGAATCACGCAGCCGTCTGCAGAATGGAACCACCGGAGATGAAGGCTACTCACTCCTACCATGCCCCAAACGAAGGAACGAGTTGATGGTACTCGCACAAGAGGCACGAAGAAACTATTCCCTAGGAACTCCGGCGCCCCGACAACTCAGCGCCCTCGTCAAGCTCAACCTGCTTACTGCGCTATGGCGTAATACGCAGATATTGGGCTTCAACATACACTCCATCTGCGAGGACGAATTCATTTCTCCGCACAATCTGCAAGGCCCGGATCTCCCCTGCTATTCTCGCCAAGAGCTCTCGTGGCCTCCATATTTGCGTCCGACGGAAGCGCAGAAAAAGATTACGCATCACCCATTCCTTGACGTGTTCCCATTTCCTTCTTTGAGAGAAGCCGGGATCCGGGCCGAAGAACTTGGTTTCTTTGATGAAGACGACTTTTGTCTCGACATCTTCCATCTTGATGACAAAAAGGACGGCGTGGAGCGACCACGCATGATAGTCTGGGGCGAGTCTTGGGATCCCCGGGGTTGGGAGGTCAACGTTGCGTTCCTGAAGAAATGGGGCTGGATGGTCCGAGGCTGCCCAGAGTTGCTAGAAGGCACGAACTACTGGCGTGAGAGAAGGGGCGAAAAGAAGTTGAACTTTAGCCTCAACCAGTGATATTTTCAGGGTATCGGGGCAATACGTATCGTTGAGCGTTCACTTTCATCAATTGTGGTACAGTTAGAACGCATCAATTTTCAGAAATTACAATAGGGGTACGGGTAAGGATCACATGTACAGAATGCTTCAACTATATCGAACTTGGGTTGAGTCTCGTTAAAGACTGAAATTGCTATATATCGACTGTAGGTCTTTAACACAGTCCAAATCCCCAGGGAAACCATGCAAGCTAACTCATGGTACCTTAGTTGAACGATTTCCCATAAAGCCCTCAACAACAATGGTTTCATCGTTTCCAAGTAGTTACTCAGAACGGCTGAGCAGTCGCATGCCAGAAAAGCTCGCCAATAGCATATCTGTCAGTGAGCGGCTTAACCTCCTCCTTCACACATGTCTTCTCCACCGGGACTCCCTCGAATCTCGCCGCGATCCATGCAGCAATGTCAGCTCTCGCCGCCTCCAGGACCTGGCCGTGACCCATGCTCGGGTAGACTCTAGCATGAACAGGGCTCTCGGGGAATGAGGTGCAAGTCTGGTTGAAATCGTCGAGCGTAAGGTTGTTCGGTGTAATGGTGTCGGTCTCGCCCGAAATCACCAACATTGGCGCCGCGACGGAGTGTGGGCCCTGGCCGTTGTAACGAACGGCCCAGTCGTTGACGACAGGGAGTGTCAGCCAGCTGGTGTTCTTGTAGAGCTGCTCCGGGGTGAAATCGCCGACGATAGCAAAGCCAGACGTGAAGCACGACTTGTCTAGGGCACCCAGGCGCTGCAGGGGAATCTCTCCAAGGTAGTCCGCAACCTTGATCTGGTCGGGGAAGAGCAGAGACAGAGACTGGAGGAAGTAGACCGAGAAGGGATCGTGGGCAGCCTTTCCTTGGGCGAGCGCCAGAGAGGCGGGAATGAGCTTCTGCGGCCGCAAAGCAGGGGCGGCAGCCACGGAGCCGACGAACTCGCCGGCTTCCAAGAGGGCTTCTTGGTCGGGCTGAGCCAGACGCTCGTTGGTTCTCCATGCCGTCATGGCGCCCTCGCTGTGTCCATAGACCACCCACTTCTGTCCCAAAAGGTCGCCGATGACCTTTCTAGAGGCAACGAGAGAGTGTGCGACATCGGCAACGTGGAGCCAACCAGACTCATACATGAAACCTTGGGGGATATCGGAACCCTGGCCAGCATAGTCGGGGGCAATAACCGCGTACCCAGACTCGGCGAGGATGAAGGGGGCTTTCCAGTCGTAGTAAAGGCCCTTGTTGTTTGTGGGGGCACACAAGCGGCTACGGCCGGCAGTTCCGTGGGTCCAGACGACGGTGCGGAGCTTATTCTCCTCGGCCGTAGCACCGGGCTTGGCGAACGGGTTGGAGAAAGGCAGGAGAACCCAAGCAGATGCGGGGATCGGCTTGCGGTCAATGTCTTCGGTCACATAGAGGACCCTTGACAATGACAGACTGGCGGGGATGGTCCAGTTCAAAGAAAGCTGCGCAGCGGGCACGTTCTCCCATCGCAAGATATCGCCAGGCTTGGCACCGGTGAAGTTGGAAGGAGTAGAGTAGAAGGGGTCGGACACGATGTCGCTCACCCAGAGAGATGCTTCAGATTCGTAGGTCGTCTGGATGGCGGTTTGGCAGGCTTCATCGCAACCCTTCTGGCACTCGGCGTCGCAGATAGGGTCGAGGGCAGAAACGATGCCAGCGAAGGCGGCAGCAACAGCTACGAAAGACTTCATTTTGCCGGATGATCTTGAGTTGGAAACAAACGTAACCCTGCTGGATGAGGAACGGGAGGCATACTGATCTCTACCAGCACCTGGCCTTTATACAAGGTCGAGGACGGAAAGGGGGTTCATCTCATCATCTGATTGTTATTCGCAGATATGATTACAGGAGCTGGACTCATTGAACTTGAACCTTAATTCCACGCTTTACCTACACAATACTACGAGCCCAGTCTGTTCAGCGGTCATATTAAGCATACGTATGATGCATGCTTGGTGGTCGCCCCAGTGTCGCATACAACTTCCCCTTTTGGGATGGATCACCCGCCCCTCGTTGCAGCGCATCCATCCCGAGTTGTGATCGGGGAATACGCCAGGCCCGGAACCACGGTCATCGGCCTAGGTAGGCACTTGTCGATAAGCATGACTGAGTTGTTTTCAGCTTGAAGTTGGCTCTATCTAGTCAAACAGATTCTCGGAACGCTTCCGACCCATTCCGTCTGATCTTCTAGCTGCCTCTCAATCGTGAAAGGCGGACTTCGGAGACTTCTGTCAAGCTGGCATGCATTTCACCCCACCAAGCTATGGTCATATCGGCCTCCCACCGGCAGCTGTTCCCAGTGATGCGGTAGTACTCCACCCTCGACGATTGCAGCTTCTGATCGGCCCGCCCTGGCAATCATGAGCATGCACATCATATTGTGTGGTATTGCATCCTCAACTGTGTACATTAGATCCAGTGAATTGTTAATCATCTATTAAATACATCTCGGCATAAAGCATGGCATCTACCCAGAACAAGGCATCTGTTACAATCAACTTCTTTTCCCCTGGTCTCATGATACCGTAGGCGGCAGTTTTGATGAGCAATAGCTCAACTCTGTCCCTCATTTATGTTCTCTTTACTTCACCACTAGAGGACCTGCCCCAAGTCGTGGTCTCTAAGCCATCACCTGATCAAAGCGGCACAAGAGCCAAGAAATTCATACCTTCCATTGAATGGATGATTGAACACAGGGTCTGCAGTGGAGGGAAATCCGATTCTCCCGTTGAGTGCGCGCATCAACAAACAGATGTTAGGTGACCGAGGAAGACATATATCGGTCATCATAACCAGGGCTCAAAATGAAACCTGACATGCATGTTATGATGACTGTCATGTGATGATGACTGTCATGTGAATTATTACGATGATTTACATTGCAATGCTCAAACATTGTCTGTAAGTTCATTTCTTCCCGGTTATCATACCTTTGCTTTTCAATCCAGATTTCATTCAAGCAGATCACGCTTCAGTAGGCTGCAAGGAACTGAGCTATTGAGTGAACAACAGCAGTATTGAATTCAACATCAAGCACTTCAGTTGAACGGAAAAATGTTCTTACACTTGGTTCTCCAGCGATAGGCGTCTAAGTTTCAATCACCCCGGGTTCAAGTCTCGAATGGGGGTGAGTAACAATTTTGTCGGCGTTGAAAATATTTGCATAATTACAATGGCTCTCGATAATTTTGTGTCTGAGGTTTCCAGCATGAAAAGTTCACTGATGCATCTTGGGTAGTAATACCTACTGATGGACACAAGTTCAACTGCAGGATCGCCATGCGAACGCTTAATTTGGACGGTCGCTTTCGTCATCGCCACACCGAGAGGCCGTGCCGGCGTGACCGAAGGAAACTAAGCGATGCCTCTTCCCCGCACCATGTGGCATTCCGGCTTCAACTACCGGCAAGACAATTCAGGGTTAGCCATTTCTTTGCAAGAGTGCAGTTCAGAATCGTTTCTTCCTCCTTACCTGCGTTTTCAGATTCACGTGCAACAATGGAGAAGGCAGATACGGCCGAGGTGCTAGATGTATCTCTGTGGCCAACGGCGGCAAAGTTTGTCTCTCGATGTTGCGAGTTCTTGAATGAGGTGCAAGACTTGTGAGTACTCCTGACAAGAGATATGGACATGAATCTCATCAACTCACGATAATTGCGCCAGGACACCCGGTAAAGCTTTAGAATTAAGACTCAATCAAGACTTTGGACCGGGCAATCAGTACTACGAAGACTTCTGCGCCCACATCAAACAAGGTCTCGAAGAAGGGTGGGTGGCTCAGACTGAGATCGACGGACGGAAATATCGGCGGGGCAAGATCGCACTACCTTCGGCGTCAACGAGATACTTCAGCATCACAACCGTGTTTATGGACAGCGATACTGAGTTTAGGGGACAATACCACGCTCACCCTTACGGCGAGATAAATTGTGTTGTCCAGCTAGATCCTACGGCTGAACTCAAAGGAATGCAAGGTTGGCAGGGTGCTGGCTGGACATCCCCTGGACCTGGAACACATCACTTTCCCGAAGTCCGTAAAGGGGCCTTGGTGGCACTATTTTTCCTGCCCGCTGGTCGAATCTCATATAACGCTCAGCCAGGTGCACCACAGCCATTATCAGTCTAGATACGTTAGCAGAACACGATCGGTTGGATTGTGACAATAAAAAGACTTCGATTCTCTAGGTACTATTTCTAACGAGTGGCACAGCTCTGATCCAGTACCTTACTAGGACTGGGACATTGGCGGATAACAGGATTTTAATAAGGCAATTCAACGAAAGTGGGACTGAAAAACAGAAGAGACTAGGAAAAGGTAACAGAGCAAACTACCATCAACTTGCAGACCTCGACGCAATCCATGAAAGGAGGCTCGGTTGAGCAACACAATTCTCACAATCCTCAGAATTCACGAATCCTCAGCATTGGTCTTTTTCTGCCTTCTCAAGCTGGGCCCATTAATTTGCCTTTGCCCAGTTGATGTCTGGCCCTGACCTTGGCTTGGTAGCAAGGCGCATCCGAAATAGTAGGCGTGCATAGACGGAGTTCCATACACGTCTCCATCGTAAGTGGCGTCAAGATTATTGTGTTGATCGCCAGCCCCAGATTTTGTACAATTGATGTACAGGAGAGCATTGTCGGTGGAACTCGGTGTCTGAGTTATGCATGACGAAGCGGGGGAATTCGCATGACCAATGTTGTCATAGTTGAAGTGATGTCCAGATGGCTGCATCGCCATTCGATTAAGGAGATCCGGGTCATTTTCGATGTACGCTCCATTGACTTGGGTGACGCCCTCACCAGCCGTGCAATCGCGGTATACTGTCCGACCTTTCATGTTGACTTCAATTCCAATCGGGAAACCCTGATGAGGCCAATTTTCAGAAGAAGACCTGTTGCTGGTAGGAAGGGGATGAGCTTGGTTTGGCCCTACATCGCAGCGTTTTTCGGCTTCTTTGGCCAAGTTGCAATGATAGTCGTGGAGAACGGAGGCAGGTTCCCAGTCCCGAGACCTATGTGCATTTTTCACAAGCGCAACTGAAGCACCACTCGTTGACGATGATGAAGCGCCGGCCTGTCTCTCAAACTCGGCAGCATCATCCTCGAGATCAGGCAATAGGCTCTTCTTTGTGTTGCGCAAGGAACGGTTCGCCATGGCATGTATGTCTGACTGTATCTGGTGGAGTGTGCTGGCCTCGATATTGTGTATGATAAGAGAAAGTTGAGACTTGCGCCTTTCCAGTATATCCAAGGTGTTCTTCAGATCTCTCTCTTTACGGAGAAACACAAAGGATTGAAACAAACGGCTTCTGCTCAAAGTTGCTTCGATGTTGTGTTGGTCGACAATCTCTTGTAATGAACGAGTCTGTACACCAATTTCGGTTGTCTGAAGAAGAGGGTTGAGAGATATAGAGTTGGAAAGATCATGGAGTTCTTGAAGTTGTGTTCGATAACATTTCAAGGCTGATGGCGCCTCTTTTATCTTTTTCATGAGCTCGAGAATTGCAAAGCAGGATACCGCTAGCTGACTAGCAGCAGCCGCAACTCCTATGACTTCGGCCATGACGGAGAGAGCGTTAAGGTGAGTCAAGAACTGACAACTCCAAGGATGTGTGGAAAGAATACTGATCACCACCAGGCGGTGAGAAGCCTAAGCCAATAGGTTTGTCCGCACGACGAAATCTTGTACTTGTACTCTTAAGATAGCATAGTGGTGTGGCCGGAAAGCATGCGGGCAGACCTATGCGCCGAACGAAGGTTGCGATAACGTGGCAGTAGATGACAAAGTCGGTCTATGTTTTGGGGGCTGCGGAGTGAAGAAGTCATGAGATGCCTATGGGTGAACTTTGTATATGTTGAAGGTGAACAGAGATACATTCCACGTTGCGATGTAGGAAGAAATAAGGCTGATATGCAAGACCGGGCAGGGTTTATCCGGAAAGGGGGGCTGAGTCTATAGATGGACTCTGTTCAATTGGCTTGCGAAGAGCTGCACCAAGAGAATGGTTTTGAAATCATTGGTTTTAACACAGGCTGTTGAGGCCATAACGCCGTGAGCCTGTTTTTCTATGGTGTGAAATCTCAAGCCTCTCCTCTCACCGCCATTAGAGCGTAGTTGTTAGATTAGAAGGGGGTGTACACACTGCTTTAGCTCAATGGTAGACTTGTACTGCCATGAACGACGAGTATTAGAACAGATAGTGTTGATCATTTGGGGGCTGGAGCTTTTCTATCTGTCAAAGTCAAGATGCCACAACACTTAACCGGGACTGGCGCTCGTGATATTTCAAAACGCGCTCCACTGACCTAATTTGAGTCGAAAAAATAGCATCTGGTTTTGAACACTACTTAGTATGTAAGTTGACCTAGAAATCCCCTCACTTTGCTCGGATGATCAAAACTTTTCACATGTTCAAAGAGATCCACGCTCTGCGAGGCTCCGAATGCATGTGCCTATGCTAATGAATTGATTGGATCGATGAATCTTGGAGGTGGTGAGTTGTCCATTGGGGGCGAGACTTGGGCATATTCCTAAACACAAGATGGTGGGCATGGTGCCCGATTCGTGCATGTTAGCAGCGCTGTTGGGAAAAGCTGTAATCAGGCTGATCTCGGGCCTCACATATTCATAAGTTCTTCTTAGACAAGAGGCCAATTACTTGATTAGCTGATGAGGACCCGTTGTGCTAAGCATCTCGCGAACTGATCGATACTAACATGCTCGAAATGGAGAAACTGATGCCTGCACCAATACGCGACTATTAGTCTTTGACGATGTTTCCCGTCTCGCTTCTGCTTGACATCTTCCTACCGCGGCTTAGATGCAGGGTACCTTGTGCCCGTCTCAGAAGCTTCTGCTCCTCCTTCTTTCACAATAGTACCAGACGCGTCGGGATTGCTTCGCCTACTTGCTGCGTGCAAGACTCCGTGTCATTGGGCAGACCCCTGAATGCTGACTACTTGGCGCCTCACACCAAACGGCCCCTTGCTTCGACTTTGGCGCAGCGATGGCCACACAGGCATGGTCCCAGCCCTCCCACAACAGAAACATTGCCTAGCAAATTCTCCCAACTTGGGTTGCCTTCATTTAGGCTAAGCACACCACCCTCCGAGTCATTGCGATGACTGACTGGCCAAACGAATTATTGTAGTGGTTCGATTCGCCGACGATGCCACCGAAAATGACCATGAACTCCGACGCTGCAGGAAGACGAACCGAGTCCACATACCCGTACAACGCATCCAGCAATGTTTGCGCCGGAGCTAGAAATCAGTACAACGGGCCCGCCAGAATAAACAAAGGAACGAGCATCAATAACATTCGGCCGGTTACAAAGATCAACAAAAGTACGAATTACTATATCCGTACGTTTGTTTTAAATGGCAATACACAGTCATCGAGGTCTTGTCAAAATTGCGATACGAACGATCCGGCTGGACGAGAGATTTCCCGTGTTTCGCTCAAGACGACACCCACTTCCGACGGTCGGCAGATGTCGCTACCCAACAACGTCGACCGAGCCAAACATGCACCTGTCTCGCCCCGTGTTTCTTATTCTATCCACATTGAATGGATAAATTTTATCATTCGCCATTCGAGCATCCAGGGATTCGACCTCATCTGCAAGTTTCTGATGTGGTAAGTTCAGTCTGCACGATAGGATTCCGAGCATAATGCGAGCATTGCTAACGAAACTCTCTTCATAGCTTGATTGTCTGCTATACTAAAGTCCCTTGGCAATCCGAAAACCTCCGCCGAAAACGCCTGGACATTCTCCATCTTCTAGCAGACCTGATTCTCCGGCGCCGTTGAACAATACTTCCACCCCCCAGCACGGCCTGATTGGTCGTCCAAAGGCTCGTATGAATCTTCTCGGATCCTAGCCTGAACCAAGGAATCTTAAATTACGAAAAAGAACGCTGCTTGTGTAGGACGTGATCGGCACTAGTTGAGGTGTAAGAGCAAGATTTAGAACAAAATCTACATATGGTCTCCGCAATATCTACCTCTATGTCAGGAATCTGTCATGTTCAGAATGGAAAGCTTTTTCATCATGAACTCGTTCGGGACTTGAGTCACCCCATCTCTAGCAGTGCTCAAGGCAGCTTTCTCCCATTCATCGCATAGATGAAGCTGCTCTTGACACTTTTGCCTGATGACCTCGACGGAGTCCACCCCAATGGGAACTCTAATCGGGAATGCCTTTCCAGTTGCTAGGCCCTGCCCTTTGATAACATCCCAAAGAACTGGTGGAAGTTTTTCAACGGATGATGGGAGGTTTGGGAAGACTTCTATCGCGATCCTTCCTACAGCCTCACCATAAAACCCTTGGTAGTCCGCGATACTTGGGAACCCAGGAGGAGGCCCCTTTTCCTGTGGCTCATCCTCCTTTTTGTCGTTCATGCCAGAGTTGACACCACCAGGCTCGAAGATAACGGCTTTGATACCGAGATGAGCAGTCTCTTTCTGGAGACCCTCAACAAACACTGTGTGATAGTTAGGCCCTTGGATATTATCATACACCCGTGGCTTGGGTTCGAACTTACTTGTGAGTGCACCTTTAGCCATGCCATAGTGAGCCATAAATGGGAAAGATGACCAGCCAAATCCAGCACCGATGAATCCAAAGATGCCTGACTTTCTCTCGCGGAAATGCGGAAGAACGGCTTGAACGACCTTCATCGCTCCGAAGAGGTTAGTGTCGAACATCTTTTGAACGAATTCTTCACTGCAGAAAGGTCGTTAGCAGTGACCCATTTGACTCTTCAGCAAATATTTACTCTGCCTCTTCAATTGAAGACAAAAGAGAATAGCCGGCATTGTTGATAACGAAGTCGATGTGCCCAAAAGTTTTGACAGCTTCTTGCACCTGGGATTTGATATCGGCGAGCGGGGAGGTCACATCAAGGTCGAAAGGGATGATTGTATCCGACTTCTTGTCTGCTAATCGTGTAGTCGCATTTCGGCCTGTAGCAATGACCTTATCGCCTCTTGCGGCGAACTGTTCCACGAGGGCAGCACCTATGCCCGAAGTGGTGCCCGTGATAAGCCAAACGTTGGGTTCCTGCATGGCGTAAAATGGGCGTTCTGAGTGGATGGATCTTGGTGTCTCTAGGGGCTCGAAGAATCTACAGAACGCGGCGTCATGCGATTCAGGTGGAACTGAAGAGATATATGTAGATCGTAGAGAACAGCGTAAGCACCACAAGCTGACGATAACTGCGGAGAAATCGGTCTGCCGATAATCCTCAAGGAGCAAAGTGCATCAAAAGACGTCATCATCTTACCTTTTGGTGTCAGCAAACAATGGTCTTCGGTAGCCGGATGAAGCCCAAAGTTCCAACAAAGTCCGGCCTTAAAAATGGGCTGCTCGGCCTTCGGACTCTGGAGCCAAGACGGGCCTTACCAAGCAGCCAAGCACACATGCCGGCGCTTCATCGGAGGTTTTTGATTCGGCGCCGCTTCTACCGGTCGTCAGCCGTAGAACAAGAGGGTGCAAGTTATGCTTACTGCACCAAGGCTAGTCGCTCCAAGCTGGTGGGGTTCTGGGAGTTTGTCGATGATCTAGACTTCTTTCGCTGAATTTTCCTCCATTTTCGATCCTCAGTATTTATTGCTATACGGACATGCATGAATTGAGGTACTTCAAGATATAGCTCTCTTATGAAGTCCAACTAATTTTGTATTACTAGTCTCTGTCTATCAACTTACTGAAACCCAATCCGGATGCGCTTTTCGTATCAAGCCCGTTGCAGGCAGTGTCTCATCGCGTCCTTCAAATTAGCGCAAGGACATAACCGACAGCGTTGGTTTCCATTTTCTTTCCTTCAACGTCTTTCGCACTCGGAGAAAGCGAGGTGGCTCGGTCGAAAGCCTTTTAGACTGGCAGCAGCAATCAACGCAGGTACGCGAATTTGGGATGGCATGGGAGCATCGCTCAATCCAACGTTTCCCCCTTTCCAAAACCGCTTGCTCAATACCTCATGATTGGGCGGCTTCAAACTCGGTTCGCAAATCTTCCTACCAGGTGTGTGTGGATTCTAAGCAGCGGTTAAACACACTATTGGGATTGTGAGTTTGACAGATTCCTTGAAAGTCTATTGGCGCTTAAATCAAGAATGCGTCCTTGCGCCATATGAATATCCCAGCACTGCGGGTGCTTCCGGACTACCACGCGATGGTATCATGAGCAAGGATCAATTACAAGGTTCGCAACCGACTTGTGGATTTCTCCAGATGTCCCCCCCGCAGAGCATTGTGGCCCTCCATGGGGTATCTTACCGTATCTACCGAAAGAGGCCTGTCTTCCCCATGCGCTAACCCCGTGAACGGACCCGATTGCACCGTCAGTGGGGTTTCGTGTCCCCGCATCGCGAGAGAGCTCGGTAGGACGCTACCCCGACTCGGAGCTAGACAGCTAGCCGCGCCATAGAAAAGCAACATCTGGCTGAAGCTTCGCGCTGTTGAGTCTGGCGAACTAATTCACGACGAAACTCAAGAATTTGATGCCAAGGCTCTGGCGTCAACTTGACCACCTCATCGCCACTGACATGAGTATATATACTATGGCCGTTCCCGAAATGCCTGTGATGCCTTGTGGGATGAAAGACATCATCACTTCTCTGGACCCACTCAGATAAATCTGGGAATAACGTCAAGATGCGCTTCTTCTCAATCTTCACAGCCGTTGCGTCGGCTGCTGTCGTAGCCGGGAACCCCGTAGCCCGACAGACTAACAATTTTGCCGGCTACTTGATCTCGACCTTCAGCGACGCCAATCCGAAAGTCCAGTTTCACTTGTCGAATGGCAACAGCGCGTCTAGCTTCAAATTCCTCAACAAGGGCCAGGCAGTCCTCACGTCGACCGTCGGTACCAAGGCTGTCCGTGATGTCTACCTGACGACCAATCCCTCGCGGTCAGAGTGGTACATCATTGCCACCGGTGAGTTGTCTTCAATCCAGATAGGAAAGTCATGAAGCTAAGTTTTACCAGATCTTGACATCAATGCTTCCGGCTTCAACTGGGACAAGGCCACGAGAACTGGCAGCAGGGGCATCGTTGTCTGGAAGTCAACCAACCTTGTCGACTGGTCTGCACCCACCCTGAGAATTGTGGAAGCCGACACCGCCGGCATGGTCTGGGCTCCCTCGGCCGTTTGGGACGATGCAAAGGCCCATTGGTACGTCTTCTGGTCCGCCCGGCACTACCGGTCCACCGACACGGCGCACACCGGCACCGCAACCCTCGACCGCATCCGATACACCACGACCAAGGACTTTGTCACCTTCAGCCCGGCCCGGGACTACGTCGCTCTCGCGGATACTCCCCTCATCGATCAAGAGTTTCAGTACCTCGGCACAGCTGGCGCCTACGCCCGCTTTCTCAAGAACGAGACCACCAACCAAGTCTACCAAGAGGTCACTTCCGACGGCATTTTTGGAACATGGAAACGTATCCCGGGCTACGTCAGGAACGAGAGCCCTCGCGAGGGACCTGCTTCGTACGCCGACAACACCACGCCTGGATTGTACCATCTCCTCTTAGATGACTACACTCAGTATGTGCCGTTCCAGACCAGCAATATCCAGTCACCTAGCTGGCAGGCTGGTAGCACGTCTGGCTTCCCCTCTGGATTGAAGCATGGGTCTGTTACGCCAATCACTCAGGCTGAATGGAACGCACTGAACTCGAAGTTCCCTGCTTGAACAGGAGGTTATTGGACTATTCACGCATTGGGTATGCATTTTCGCTGTATGTATTATCCAAGTGCACATTACGACCTGAATGAAAGCGAGTTTCTAGTAAGAATGGCTGGTCCTAAGGCCGTCTCAATGCCCTGCACTGGATCATGAGTGTCCTGATGATCCCATACCTACTTGAGATTGCATCCAGATCGATTACATTGTGGGGGTAATTAATGTAATCAGTCAGCTCTCATTGGGGTTCCGGAATCGGCATAGACCATGCCAAGATTATTCAACTCGCGCTTGTCAGAAAGTCGGGACGCGTCGGCTCATGTGGTGTCCCTTGGGCAACCGAGCTACTGTACCACATCCTTTGAAGCCCTCGTCTCCCTTGAGAGCCAGCAACGTCATCGCCTGACGATGTTGAAGACGCCCATTGAGTAAGGCAGACCGTCTTGCTAGTGCTATCGCAGCTCAGTAATCTTCACCGAATATCGAGTTGCCACGATGGTGCTCCGGCAAGGTCCACCGGCAGTTGCACATGTTATAATCTTAGCAAAATGAACGCCTGCCGTAGACCATACGTGTTTGCCTCCAAAGTCGCCACAAGAGGCACGAAAAGAGGGCCAAACACTTTCACATTCATGATTCATACGGTCCTTTGGGAACATTAAAGGTTTGCCACGGTGGAAGACTTGCACGTGAAAGCATCCATGGGGCTTGCATGCCTCCCACCTCGGACTTTGCCATCTCGAAGTTTGTTTTCTTGCAGCGGATATTGCCGTACAGGACAGATGGACTGGTTAGCAGTCATGCAGTGAATCGTACCTGGCTTACCGAAAATGCAGATCCTCTAAGTGCTAGGGACACCAATCGACTCCTGCTAGCTCTCGCTAAAGAGCTCGGGGAAGTGCGCCGGTGGCTTTGTGCCACCTCGTTTCCAGCCCCAACGAAGAGCCCGACATGGCATGTCACATTTTAGCCAGGGCTTTGATTGGGAGCAAAAGTGTGGCGTTGGACGTCTACGGCTGTCTCTGATAGATTCACTGGATTTGCCAGGCAAATCCACAGTATCAATGGCTGGCGGTTTGCCCACGGAGATTGGTCCGGTGTTGTGGATTGAAGGAGTTGGCTCTGGGTTTCGGGCTTTAACAAACCCAGCCGTCTGCGTTGTGGCGGCTGAGGAAAACCGTGGCGCGGCCGCATGCGGTGATGAATCTCGAGATATTGTCTCCTCAGTAGTTCAGTTTCGCCGGACACGGAAAGCGTTCATTGTTAGTGTCTACCTTTTCGTGTTCCAAGAATCTCTTTACATTCCATTGTCCTTAACGTGCCCGGTCCCAGGCCATGTGCCAATGTTATTTTGCGTCCTTGTCTCCGATTCCTACATCGACTTGATGAGTTGGTCTCGATTTTTCTTGATTTTTCAATGCTGACTGAGCAAGTCTCGGTCGAGAAAGTCTACCGAAGTCGATACAATCTTGGAAGACCACGCCAGTTCCCAGGTGCCGTCCGTCGTATACGCTCTCTCGACAGGGACGGGAGGGTTGACAAGAATCCGCGATGCACAATGAAAGCTTCTCGCGAGGGAATCCTATGCCGCCGTACACTGACGCCACCAGAGCCCCGTGGCTCATTGGCATGACCGCAGGATTTCTTGGAATTGCGTCAATTCTCGTCGCCTTACGTGTTTACGTGCGGGCTGTGGTGTTGAAGAAATGGGGGGTTGACGACACACTCATCGTCATCTCATATGTAAGCGTCTGCACCGTGTCACCTTCGTAACAATGAGAAAAGCAATAGCTGATTGAACCGTAATAGGTTTTAACAGTGCTCACTGGTACCATCTTCTCCATTTGTAAGCTCGTGTAATCGACGCAACATGATCAGAAAGACACTAACTCAAACTTTACAAGGCACCACCTTTGGACTTGGGATGCATATCTGGACAATTCCTGATGAAGTACAACAGACTGGCCGCAGGGTAAATCTTCCCCATATGGTGAAGATAGAGTTGAGGATGCTAACACTTACAGGCGACGATTGCCGCGACTTTGTCATATCACATTACCTTCATCTTTGTGAAGATAGCTTTGCTACTTCTGTACCGACGGGTGTTTGCGCACCCCAAGTTCTGCCTGGTATGCGATGCAATGCTAGGCTTTATTGTCGCATTCGGTATTGCCGTGGTAGTATCATCCGTCGTTATTAGTGCCCCAGGTTGGAGAGGGGACACCTTTGCGTTCGAGCGATATGACCAGGGAACGTGGTGGATGGCAACAGCTGCAGTTCATCTGGTGACCGACATGATCATTTTCTTCATGCCGATCCCTCTCTTGAGCAGCTTGAATTTGAAAAGAGCTCAAAAGGCAGCGCTGATAGTCACCTTTGGCGTTGGATTCATGTGAGTTTGTGATCTATCTTCGAGTTTTGAAGTATTGCGCTGACGGTAGTGTTTAGCACGACAGCCATTTCTGTTGTCAGGATGTCCACCCTCACGCACGTTTTCACAGCTGACGTGACGTGGGATGTAATCCCGTCATTGATCTGGTCCGAAGTCGAGCTGTGCTGTGCCGTGATATGCGCTTGCATACCAACACTTCGCCCTCTTCTTCGCTCCCCGAGATCTGCGTGCTCGCAGTATTACAATCGACAACGATCTGAAGCGAGCACCGAGGCAAAGTTGTCTCGGAAGCGGATGAATGGGGGGACATTCGGAAGCCACAGTCAGCAAAGCATCCAAAACACAACGACGATGGATTTCGACATGGATATGGAGATGGACTTGGAGGCGAATAGGGAGCCGGAAATGCCACCAGACGCGCCTTACATCCAAAAGGGGAGTTTTCAAGGGTTGACTATTGTGACAGACATCACTCCAGCGATGCCCGCTGGAGAGTCCGACGATGGATCTGACGTGTTCGGGCCGCTGGATGAGGAGATCGCAACACCGTTGAGCCCGCCTCCCAGATCGTACACGAGCCCTGCAAGACTTGCTCCTCGATCTCGTCCATTGTCAGAGTCAAGTAATGAAGAGTGAGGAAAGGGGGAGGGCGAATCTGATAATACAGGGTCCAAGTTGATGCCAAGAAGAGGATGATGATGGAGGGAAGCAGGTGCGTATGTGTTTAGCAAGGCGTTGGGGATCATTATACCATGGGAGCAAGATTTCCACGACAGCAGAACAGAGCCACAGTAATATACCTTGACACGATGAACTCTTGGAGGAGCAATGCAGCGACGTGTGAATAGCATCAGAAGGACGGACTGGTGTTGTTGAAGGGAGAAGCCCAAGTCCGAGGTGGATCCAGTGGACCAAGTGGACCCTGAAGAAAGCTACTGAGTCAGGAACATGTGGCCTCGGCGCACCTGCGTTATTCGGGGTCTCGGTTCCGGGTGGGCCGCTAGACCTGATGAGTAACTCTGCACGTGCTGCGCTAAGCTTGTCGAAGAAGGCGGTCGACTCTCCGAGGTATCGGTATTCTTAGATAAGCCGGCAAAATAGCAGGTGTCGCCCGCCCGCACGTCCCCGCCATCGCCGCCTCCGACAGGACACCGAAGTCGACAACTTTCCGTTGCATTCCACTCCTCCCGCCTGCACGCCTTCCCTTCTGCCACCTTGGCTCCTCACAAAACTCTCGATCTTTCTATAATATCACAATCGCCGATTCAAGCAGTCTCGAAGCTACCCACAATGTCAAACGGGAACGGCGAGCATGCTGCCGCGGCTGCCAACGGTTACCCCGCCAAACCCCACTCATCCGAATCCGAGCCGTCCCCGCGGAGTTTCCAGGAAGTGTGCCACGAGCTGAAGGATAAGGTCGATGCCTTCTTAGCTGATGATCAGAAGACGGATGTTTTGCGGAATGTTCAGAAACAGCTGCGTGCGTCAATGGGCGTCGTAGACGAGGCGTTGGCAAGATACAGGTGCGCGACATGTCATGTCAGCTCTTATCTCATGTCCACATGGATCCGCTAATGCGCCGAGGCAGCCTGGAACAGATTTCAATTTCCTACAATGGAGGCAAAGACTGTATGTCATCACATCTTATACACTGAACATTTCTCCTGTGGTATTGCGAACTATCCAGGCTGAGCCAAGGCATCGCATCCAACGTCGCATACGGTCATCCCTCTTGGTCTAGCGTATGATGCTGACAGACCAATTCGACAGGCCTCGTACTACTGATCATACTCCTCGCCGCCCTCGCACGTCGATACCCCTCTCATTCGAAAGCCTCCCATACGAACGGTTCGAATGGCACGACTTCCTTCCCTCCCGAGTTCCAGGCAGTGTACATCGTATCGAAGCATCCATTCTCCGAAGTTGACGATTTTGTTGAAGCCACTAGCGCCGAATACCACTTAGACGTAAAAAGATATGCCATGTCAATGAAGGATGGACTCGAGGCATACCTAGCAGACAGACCAAACGTAAAAGCCATTTTCGTGGGGACGAGGAGGACAGATCCCCACGGCGAGAAGTTGACAGATTTTGACCCCACGGACTCCGGGTGGCCTGCGTTTATGCGGGTGCACCCTGTAATTGATTGGCACTATGGTCAGTTTCCTTTCGCCGTCATGAAAACGCGATGATTCTTGCTAACTCGTCTTTGCAGCCGAAATTTGGGCAGTAAGTCATGGCACAGTCACCAGGTCGTGGTGCGGCGACAGTGCGATGGGGAGGTTATACCGGCACAAGGATGTGAGCTGACCATACGCTAGTTCATCCGACATTTAGAAATACCATACTGTCCTCTATATGATCAGGTAATATGATTGATGTGGGGAAGCTACGACAAGATGACTGACTTCTTTTAGGGCTACACGAGTTTAGGCGGAACACAAGATACCCATCCCAACCCCCAGTTGAAGACCGAAGGACAGAACGGTGCGGGGTTCCGACCTGCATACGAGCTGACGGAAGATGACGAAGAGAGATTAGGTCGTGATAGATGAAGTAGTGCCGTACGACTCATTGTCGTTGACTTGCGGAGCCTACGAGAGTTTTGATTGAACTCGAGAGTAGCAAGATTTATCATGGAGGAGCCATCTGTATAGAGAGCGCATAGACTTGCCGCATCACAACCAATCTTCACTGATTCATTTTCAGCCAGTCGCGCCGCATACACCAAACGTGCGAGGCATATGTTGTTGTCTAGGACTTGGCTTGTTGACTCACGAGGACAGTTCCTATAACCATCAATACCGGCAAACCCACGATTGCTCCGTCAAACAGCATCTTTCGATGTGAACAACGACGAGGGTAATTCTACGCCTGTGCTCCGTCTTTTTCTCTGCCTCAACTTAAGGCCATGGCGGCACCGGCTGCGCTGGTATCAACAAGCCGCCGAAACGCGCACATTAGTGGCAGTATACGCCAAAGGACTTGCGATGCACGAAGAGATTCTGAACTGTTAACACACCCAGATTTTGACTTTCTTTAATTATCTCACTGCTGTCAAGCTCAAGTTAGTCTCGGTTCCCGCATTACAATCAATCATCGGCTGTCCGTCACCGACTCCCGCAATGTCGTCAAGCCCCGCGCGGCAATGTGGACCTTATCGGCATGTTATTGGCGCCTTATCATCGGAAACCTGGCCCTTGCGATCAGGATGTCGGGTAGCTGGCCTGAATCGTATTAGCATGGCCACTCTTTATTATAAGACGTCTCCGAGCCAAGGCGATGTGCCTTCTAGAGCGGGCACGAGCGTCAACTTGCACGACTTTCAAGCACGCTTTGACCGGGCTTGTATTGTATGCTCCGCTGTCAGTCTCATGACCCGCGCTTGGCCTTAATCATGATGTACTCTGGGTCTACTTCTACGACGGTATTGTCAACTATTCTTCTGCTCGTCGGTCAACATGTTTCCGCAGGGCCAACTGTGAAGGTGTTGAACGGCACCTATGAGGGCCTATTTCTTCCTAAATACCAGCAAGATGTTTTCCTTGGAGTGCCGTACGCTCAGCCTCCCACTGGCAACCTCCGCTTCAAAGCACCACAAAGCCTCAACTCAACGTGGGATGGCACTCACTCTGCAACGGAGTACGGAGACATATGCATGCAATACACTGTAAGCACAGGCATTACAGCTTGTTGGCCTGAGCAATTAGTACTAATTAGCCCTCTAGACTCCTCCCAGCCACTCAATGTCTGAAAACTGCCTCTCACTCAACGTCATCCGTTCGAGCAGCTTGAACAACTCTGGGCTTCTTCCTGTCGCTGTGTGGATTCATGGGTGAGTCTTGAAGCTCTTGTCTCGTCCTTGTCTCAACAACCGTGAACTAACAGAGCTTCAACTGCAGTGGCGGGTTATATGCAGGTTCGTCCAGAGACAACGACCTTACGAACTTTGTGCGCCAGGCTTCAGCAGCACGGAAACCACTTATAGCCGTCTCCATCAACTATCGACTTTCAGCCTTTGGTTTCCTCTGGGGGTCTGACGAGGTAAAAGCCAATGGTAGCGCCAACAACGGCCTAAGAGACCAGCGCCTGGCCCTCCATTGGATTCAAGAAAACATGGCCTCCTTCGGCGGTGACCCGAATCGAGTTACAATCTTCGGCCAAAGCGCCGGGGGCTTGTCCGTTGGCAAGCAACTCATTGCCTACGGAGGCCGAGAAGACGGCCTTTTCCACGGTGCGATCATGCAGAGCGGTGGAATGGCCGAGAAGTGGCCCTACAACGTGAAAGACCCAGCTGCCTACACCAAAGACCTCTATCGGAACCTGACGGAGACAACTTCTTGTGCGGACGCGGCCAGTCCGCTGGAGTGTCTTCGCACCCTGCCCGTGGAGGCCATCTCCGCCGCCCTGAATGTGAGCATAACGCCGGTGTTCTCGGGTACAGGTCTCGGTCCCTGGCTCACTCAGGTTGATGGCGATTTCCTCCAAGATGGTCCCACGGCGTCCCTTGAGAAAGGTCACTTCGTTCGTGTGCCAATCATGTACTCCACCACCAGCGACGAGGCAACCGTCTTCATGTTTGGCGGAACGCTGGACACAGACGAAGACTTCAGAGCTCTAGTCGCAGCAGGAGGCCCAGATAACTCCACCGTATCCGTCATTGAGCGACTTTATCCCAACACCAACGGCACAGGGCTTCCGGTTGGGTACAGCCCGACTGCAGAGGACAACCAGCTTGACGGATCCCAGTGGAAGCGCGGAGTCGAGTTCCATACCGATGTAGTCGAAACAACTTCCAGACGCATGACGCTGAAGGCATGGGCTGCTGCTGGCATGGAAGCTTATTCCGCTCGCGTCAATCTGTTGCCTCCCAGCACAACTCCTCGCCTGGGCTCACACCATTCGATAGACGTCTCGTTCATATTCGACGCTCTTGACGAAGAAACGATACGCGAGCCACAGTTTGCGACGGCGTCGAAGCTCATGGGTAGAGCGTGGGCGTCTTTCATGTCGGATCTCAACCCGAATAATCATGGAGGTAAGCTAGTGTGCGTTTCCAGACTATGGCTCTGAGCTCCTTCTAACGCGATGCATTTCAGTCCCTGATATCCCTATATGGCCGGCATGGACTGCTGAGAAGTCAAACAAAACCTGCTCCAACTTCGTTTTCAACGCTGATAACGATCCGTCTTCCAAGTCTTATGTCGAAGAGGATGATTATCGCCTACGTCAAACAACGTATTTGGCAAGTGTAGCGCAAAATCAGATGTACTATTAGAGGACAGAGCGGTGGTGCATGTAATGATTGATATCATAGCAGCTTCAGGTCTGATGCATTGTTGGTTTTATTTGGAGAACCTGTGGTCTATTCAATCACAAGGTAATGTGACAATATCTAGTTCCCGAATCGTACTCGAGAAGCACCTCCGCCTCCATCTGATCAACATCTACAACGACTTGACGCCACATGCTCAACTCATATGAATCGGCCATGAAGCCGGGGAGGACCATCGCGCACAGATATTTAGTACCCTTCGTCGAAGTAAAGCCTGATTTATTTACCAGGTCACCAGTGAGATCCCTCACATTCGGCCCTACAGCCGATTGAGGGGAAAGAATGGCTACCATGTTCAGCCCTGGAAGACCCATCGGGAAGGTTGAAGGCGGATTCCAGCGCACAACCATACCAGGCCGGATGCGCTCTTTGAAAGGGACGTCAACTGCCTTGGGGTCCGGGTCGACGCTAGACGATAGCATATCCTGGTTCATGGCTGTCTTCCGACTTCTGTCGGTAGGCTCTGCTTCGCTCTTCACTTCCGGCTTCTTTGAGGCGGCCTTTTGCGAATCGATGTGTACGCGCCAGAACTTCGCGTGAAAGGCGCGAGCTTGGTCCTCATCGACTCCTGGAGTCTTCAAACAGCGGGTGAGAAACTCGGGCGTAGGAAGACGGAGTAGTAGCGGACCAGTCTCGGTAGGCGCAACAAGTTCTCCAGATATGGCAGGGCTTCCGGACTTGAACATATCAGCTAAGTTGTTTGATTCAACACGGAGGATAAACTTACGTTGGTGTTGATCCAATTCTTCAACTGGACATTGTTCCAAGTTGCAGGCGTCTCAGAGTCATAAGACTGAGCCTTGGCTTTGGGCAACAAGACACGCAACATCTCGGCATACTTTAGCGTGTTCTTGCCAGCGCCAGCATCCGGAAGACTAGGGTTGACGCAAGCAAGCACGACAGTCTTGCAGCTGCGTCTCCCCGCGGGATCAAACACGTGCTTGAGAATCTTGGTGAGAGAACTCTGCCGGAACGGGATATACGTCGGGCTCTTGGTCTTGCCCGTTAGAGAAGCCGCATCCACCGTTGCTCTGCCCCTGATGCAGTCCTTCAGCACCGAAAGACTTGTATTGATCTCCCGGGCCTCTTTCATGCGGTCGGGCGTGTGGTTGGCTACATCTCTGGCGGCTTCCGAGCCTGCAAGATCGATGAGGTAGAGGAGTCCGTCTTCGGCCGTTGGTAAAGGACTCTCAATGCGGATTCGGCAGATGGCGTGGGAGCGAGAGGATGCATCATTCTTGAACGTCGATGCTGTGCGGCGGAAGGTTGCTGCCTTTTCTATGAGCTCGAGTAAAGTGGCTGCTTCGGTGATCTCGTGCTCTAGGGCGCCGGCAAGCTGCGTGACACCGAAGGAATCCTCCAACACCGAGATTGGCTTGCGAGAGTTCAGGAGGTCTAGAAGACCTTGTTAGAGCAAGCTGAGGCCTTTGGCAGTTAGGGGAAGTCCCACGCGACGTACCGAAAGAAGAGTTACCAGCCAACTCAATGATGCACGCATACACTTTTCGCTCTCCTTCCATATCCCCGCTCATGAGCGACTTGGCGACTAGCTTCTCAATCTCGCTGACTGTGAAGGTCTTGCCAGAGCCAGTCTGGCCATAGGCGAACACGGTACTAACGCCGCCGCTCCATGCCCAGGGAACCAACGGCTCAACCAGATCTCGGTAAATCTGTTCAGATGTGTCTTCCGGGCCGTATGCTTTGTCGAGCTGGACTGAAGTGGTCTGGCAAATGTGTCAGCACAGATCACGATGTCGAAACTGCGGCAAGCAGGTGACTGCTTACCGTAAGTGTCGGAGGTCCCAGTGGCTTGATGTGCTTTCGGATCTGGTGGATGTCTACAGCGCCATTACCGCTGGGTCGAGGGAAAACTCCACGGATAAGACCTGCGGACACTTCATCCTCCAAGATTGGCCGAAGCCGAGCGGCAACAATCATGTCCGGGTTGGAGGTGGTGTTCGGATCCTGGGGACTGGCCGCATCTTTTTTGGCTGCTTTGGTGCTGAAGGCCTCAACAGAGGCTTGGTACCACGGCGTATGTTTGATGTGGTATTCGTCCATGGCGACTGATTTGCCACGTCAACAATGTGCTGAAAAACAAAAATGTGTGTAATGCCCTGGCTTTGAGGAGCTTTTTTGTATCGTAATTGGGACTTTCAGCAGGACTTTTATCTCATCAAGACTTCTTTCTTCATCGTCAAAATGTTCCCATCTCGTCTTCGTTGGCAAGTGGGGCCTTGGCGCGTTGGTCGTATTATGCCGAATCTGGAAGGAACGCGAGAGACGAGGAGCACTCCGGCCTCAGAAAATCGCTGCCTGGATTCCGTCGCTGAAGCAACCAGGCAGACAATTTTGGTCAATATTGCGGTGAACCCCCAAAGATGTTGACTTATACTACAGAACATGTGTGGAAGCTCTCGAGATTGTGATAAGGAAGGTATGCTGCATTGATAGATGCCTAATCAAGGCTTCCATATTCTGCACGCCCTTCGCCTACCTTACCTTTACCTTCTACACCCTCGCTCTAAACACATACTTACCTTATGCAGGTGCCTAACTTAACAAAATTGTTCATTGGCCAGAGCTGTACGGATATTTGAACGATAAGGGTTCTTTATTACATAAAGAAATATTGAAGTCAGATGAATGATGTATCATCTTTGCTCCGAAATTACCAAATCCCTGCTCTGCCGTCCTCTTGATCGTCATATCTGGTTGCTGGAATTATTCACAGATTGTCTCTTCGGACCTCTGGCAAAGGTGAATGTCCTAGGCGACAGAGCCTTGGCATTGCCCTCCGCATCCTTTGCCGGCTGCACATATTCTGTAGTGATAGCAACTTCGACGTCCTTTCGAATATCGGTATTCTTCCGCCGGTTACTGTGACTCCTTCTGACGCTGTTCGATTGCGTGATATCAGCGGTATCAGCATGAGGATCACCCCAGGTCTTGACGTCTTGCATCTTGTACTCGTTCACCATGCGCTCTTCGCTCTCGTTGAACGTGATGTTGGTGATCGGGTACGCTGAAGGGGGTCCGCGACCCCGCCAGCTTTGGTTGCTTCCAGCCCCGAAAGTGCGAATCTCTTTCGGCGTCGCGTCGGTGAGTTTCTGAGTCGAACGAAAAGAAGTGAGAAGAGAGCCGAAGACCGGGCCCAGCCAGATCTTGATGATTGAAAAGACCATGGGTAGATTCGCCGTGATGACAGCGACAAACGTCTCACGGACAGCCCATGATCCGGCTAGCTGTGCGCCGTTCTGGGGGTCCTGGGTCGCATGGGATGAGTAAGTGTTGCTGTAGTACGGGGAGGGAAACTCACTGTGACAATCAGGATACAACGTAGGGTCGCGCAGACAACTACAAATAACCCTCCGCTAAAGAGAAATAGCAAACCCCATTTCTTGATGGGCTTGAGCCTTGCTTGCCACAGCATCGGCAGGGGAATAGACAAAAGGTAAAGATCCGTGGACACGTTGAATGCCAGATATACCCAAACAATTTGGTTGGATATGGCTGGTTGGCAAACGTCTACGGAAACATTGATCAGCATGGATATTTTTGTATCAAACCGACAGATTGGGCTTGTCTTACTTCCAGGATCAGGATTGATCTGCCAGTTCTTGTGAAACGGACGGCATGCGAGGAAGAGATTCATGATGATAACGATCCAACTAATGATGAGAAATCCGAAGCCAAAGTAAATGCGAAGTCGGTAACCGCGACCAAGGCCCGCCTTACATGGTCAACATCTGAGGTAATTAGGGGGAAGATCCAAGTTGTCCACTTACAGTCAGCCGTAGATAGAACACCAGTAGTGATGCCTTGAGCGACCACAATAAGACCGAGTAGCTTGACCAGCCACACAGCTGAATGATGGAACCGACCACCCTGGAAGGAAATCAAGTCAGCAAGAAGACTCATCAAGGGCGCAAGGTTCTTACCTCAGGTGATACTCCTCACTGTCTGGTGAGAGAGCCGCTCGTTGCTCGTCCGTCATGGCATTATTTGCCATACCCTTAGCAACAGCCCCAACGGAGTGCGCCAACGCAGTCTCAATCGCATAGAATACCTACAGCCGCCATGAGATGTCAACTTCCGTGAGAATTAGGCACTTAGAGTCAGGAGTGACTAACCGCACCGACCCAGACAAGGTAATCATCCGCTTGAAGGCCCTTGAAGCCCACTGACCTAACTCGAGCATATGTCCTTAACATGGTGAAAAGAATTCCGACTGCTAAGAGGGTCCACGCCTCTATTGTGAATGACTGCATAGCGGCTTGGGCTGCGGCAGCAGCAGCCTCCGCCGCAGCGGGGTCCATGGAGGCAGGGTCGGAAGCCGGTGATGACATGCCGGCGTCCGATACTGTAAAGAGCGACTCTGAAAAGATGGATTGCAAACCACAGAAATAACGAGAGAAAGTTCGACCAAAAAGCTCAGGAGGGTCTCGGAGAGGTGTGCATGTTCCCGGGGGGTCTACTTTGTATAATGTTTCGTCAGAGCCCCCATTTTCGACGAAGCCCTTACTTGATTCGATCGACACTTGTCAAGCCCGAAAGACCGGCGCCGATCCACACCCATGGCTGCGGTTGAGCTCCATTCCCGTTGATACCCTCCAGCTGTGCCACCAGGAGAACGTTTGAGGTTTCCTCGACGTTGATTACATGTGCCGGAAACGGCAGCGGGTGGAATCGCAATGCGGAATTCTTTTCAAGCCCACGTGCTTGGTCTGGCATGAAAGCATCGTGATGGCAGGTTGTTGATTGCTCAAACGATTACCGATATAACCATAAAAGGGCACGGGTAAGCCAAAGAACCCAAATAGATTGTAAGTTAGCAACTGGTACGCAGCAAATACCGATGCCGGTATCCAAGCAACTGCATGATTTCCGTCACTCAACAAGATACCGGCTTAAATAGGTTTGAAGCCTCGTTTCCAGTGTTTTCGACCACGACCCGGCAGTGCAACCTCCGGATTGTGCACAAAAACCGAGGACACGGTAAGTGGCAGAGTATCTCCGGCATGTCGAGCTGACATTCTCGGAGTCCCCGTATTCTTACGCTGTTGGTTTGCTGTTACATCCATGGCGCATTTCTTTGCCGTTTGTAGATGCCAACAATTGGTTGCGCATCACGGCATCGTGCCATTGGAAATTTCAGTCAAGCTAGCAAACGGCTCGTTGTTACCCTAGAATAGAGAAAGTTTTGGAGGATTGAAAGACTACAACGTTATCTTCCCTGCCCGCCGGGACCCTAGAGTACGATACGCGCCTTGGGTGGGACGAGACAACAGACTGGATTTGTGACCGGTCACCGGACTTGCTACGTTCAGAAAAGTGTATACATGTGAATTGGTTCCTGGATGGTTCGGCGAGTCGGCCAACTGCATGTCAATGAGCAGGGGTGTTCTGCCATCCGAACCCCTTCGGTCAACGGCTGACTCGCTCATGGCATGTCTCTCCAAAAAAAGGTAGCATCCAAGCGTTCAATATGGCACAACTGTTGACGCTCACATATGTAAGCCCTTGTCCATAAGAGTTCGTCCGGACCAACATCTGGTTGGTCCAGTGTTTTGACAGCTTCTCACACAATGCGTTTACGAGTAACCCTGAAGAAGAGCATCCAATCGCAGACGCAGTCGCGGGGAACCTGGAGGAATTCCCGACGTCCCCGGCGGACGCCAGTCGTAGTCGCCCGCCGTTATACGTAATCCCGAATGTAACCCCAAAGGAAATTGGTAAAACCAACATGCATCGCAGTCCTCGTCCGTTGGAAGTGGACCCGGGGTTGGTTCTTCAGAGTTTAATAAACACTCTTGCAGCCAAGCCTGCACTCAAGCACAAACTCAGGGGCGCCCAACCCTGCCATCACTTCTCAATCTGGAATATTCACGCAAACTGGATATTTCCGCACGTAGTATCACCTTCCAAACAGAGAAGATCGGCAGGACATGGGATCCCGGGGAAGTATCCCGTAGTCGTCTCATTCTAACTTGGCGGCCGTTGGCGAACTACATCCCGTTAGTCGCTCCTGAGTCGCGCCTGAAGCAGAGGTTCATCAAGATTACTTTCCCGGCGCGTCTCCGACTGTTTCGGCGACAGACTACACAAGTCTCTCAAACTCATATTCACAGCTGACAAAATGGAAAAGTTTGACTGCATTGTGGTGGGCGCAGGTAACTTATTCCCGAGCCTCTGGATCTACGTACATGTTTCCAGACATACATTTCATCGAGGTTCAATGGGGTGACAATTCCGAAGACTAACATGATATTGCAGGATGGTACGGTTTGGCCGCCGCAAAGCAGTATCACTGCACGCAACCAGATTCTTCGCTGGTCGTCTTCGACTCCCAGCCCACCCTCGGCGGCACTTGGGCCAATGAACGCCTATACCCGGGCTTGAAAAGCAATAACATGCTGGGAACTTACGAATTTCCTGATTTTCCCATGGACAGTGAGACATTCAACATCAAGCCAGGGCAGCATATTCCAGGCGAGACCATCAGCGTCTATCTCAAAGCTTATGCGGACAAGTTTGGCATTACCGACAAGATCCGCTCAAGCCACAAAGTCATTGTGGCTGAACACCAAGAAAACAACGAAGGCGGCTGGTTCTTGACAGTCGCAAATGCCAAAGATGAAGAGAAACGAGTGTTCGCTCGACGCCTGATTGTTGCGACTGGCTTAACATCTGAACCGTGGCTGCCTCATTTTGATGGGCAAGAGTCTTTCGGCGGTCGCATCTTCCATGGCAAGTACTTTCAGCAGAATGCTGATACCCTGAAGACGGCAAAGACTGTGACGGTCTTTGGGGGCACGAAGTTCGCATGGGATGCCGTCTACTCATATGCGACTGCTGGTGTGAAGGTGAACTGGGTCATCCGGTGTAAGTCTACTCGAGCCTGAGATTTAGATATATCAACTGACTTAGCGATAGCAACGGGCCATGGACCTTGCTGGATGGCACCCCCTTATGTTACACCACTCAAGAAATGGCTAGAAAAGCTTGCTAGTTAGTGTACTTCTCCTTTTTCTTGGATAACTTTGAGCTGACCAGAGCAGACACGAGAATGTTGACTTGGTTCAGCCCATGCGTGTGGGGTGATGCTGATGGCTATATCGGCACGCGTAACTTTCTCCATGGTACTGCCGTTGGAAGAAGCATCGTCGATGCCTTTTGGAAAGTGCTTGGCGGCGACGTGATGACGCTCAACGCCTATGACTCTCATCCTGACACGGCAAAGTTGAAGCCCTGGACAGAGGCGATGTTCACAGGCACCAGCTTCAGCATTCTCAACTATGAGACCAATTTCTTTGACTTAGTCAAGGAAGGCAAAGTCAGTGTCCATCTCGGAGAGATCGATCACCTCAGCGCTGGGAAGATTCATCTTTCCGATGGAACCGAGTTCCCTGCCGAGGTCCTGCTAGCTCACACCGGCTGGAAACACGTTCCACCGATCAAGTTCCTCCCAGAGGGTATCGAGAAGGAGCTCGGTATACCACATGCGCCCATCGAGAATGCACCCCGAGAAGATCTCGCCGGCCAGGCGGACCTTGTTGACCTCGCCGACAAGGAGATCTTGCAGCGCTATCCAAGGCTCAAGAACCAACCAGTATGGAACAAGAGTTATGTTCCCTTGACCGACCAGAAGGGCATCGACAGCGACGACGCAGTGACCCCTTACCGAACCCTTACTCCCTACATGCTCCACCACTTTATCGTACCGCCATCGGAGCGCTTCTTGCGAACACGCGACACGGCATTTATCGGTATGGTTTGCAACTTTAGCAACGTTATCACGGCTCATGTTCAAGGCCTTTGGATCAGTGCATACTTCTCAGGCCTTCTTGCCAAAGATCCTGCGGAAGCAGTAGGTAATGACTCGGCGATGCAAAAGTTGCAATACGACACGGTCTTGCTGAATTGTTTTGGCAAATGGCGTTACCCTACAGATTGGGGCTCCAACAAGTGCCCAAGCTTCGTGTTTGACGCTGTTCCTTACCTAGACCTGCTGCTGGGGGACCTCGGCCTCACCCATTACCGGAAGAAGGGATTCATGGCCGAGTGGTACTCGCCTTACGGGCCAGAAGACTACAGCGATGTCAATGAGGAATGGCAGGAGAAGTTCGCGAAGGGCAAGGCCATTGGTGCTACATCGAATCAAGATTGATCTTTCGATATGATTAAATAACATCTCATTTCTTTCAAACGGAGGATTCACGTATGAAAAATCAAGAGGGAGATTTCTATTTCCTACTATGGGGTTTATATTGTTCGCCACCCCCATGAATCATTATCGTCTTGACCGTCGTAGCTGTGATAACTGTCCTTACTTTACCACCACTTCAGCAAAAGGTTCACTTGGTGTCCTCAATGCGAAGAAGGTATTTCTTAGCAGATACTTTGCCAGCTTCGAGATTTTTGAGTGCCTCTTCCAAAGAGCTGAGACCTTCGGGAAGAACCTCATAAGGATGACCAGTGAACCACCCCTCTTCCAGTCCACGTCCGAAGAAGCGGTAGAATACAGACCCAAATTCCTTATCTCCCAAAAGAGGGTCTGAAGGGTCATTTGATGCATGGACTGTGCCAACCATAGTGTACAGAAACTCGGCTTTAACATCACTCGGGAGGTTTCGTAGGAAGACTGAGATCTTGCCACCTGGAGCCAGGGCCTTGGCAACGGTTCGGACTGTCCCCTCTTCGGAGACGCCATCCAGAGCATTGATGATAGACTGTCCCCTAGCTGCACGGCGGATTTGCTCAAGAACGTGGTCTTCTCCTTTGCGGTAGTCGATGACGACATCACCCTTCTCCTTGCTGATCAATGTTTCCACATAGGGACTGCCACTTCCGGCAACGGCGATGATGGGATGGATGTTGGAGAGCGTCGCTAGCTTGATGGCAAAGGCCCCAACAGCTGTGGCACCTCCATTGACGAGGAGAGGCAAAACTGTTTTGGCTGGATTCCAGGGAAGCGGCAGATTGAGCTTCTGGTACAAAGCAAGAGCAGCGGTCATGGCAGCTAGTGGGATCGTAGCCGCCTCTAGAACACAACTTGTAGGTAAGTACTCATTCGGGATTGCATATGATGAATAATGAGGACATGCCCTCGAAGCTGGTCTTCTCTGGAATGAGAAAGGTCGACTGAGCCCAAGCGATGGAGTATTCGGCATAACTTCCATGAGGGGTGTTCATTTCGTGGAAAGCCGCAACGCGATCTCCCTTCTTGAAGCCGAGCACGCCTTCGCCAACACTTTCAACAAAACCAGCAATATCATCTCCGTGATTCATAGGAGGTAGGTGAGGGATCCAAATCTTGGGGGGTTTCCAGTCTTTCGGATTGGTCCCAGAGATGGTGGTTTGGATCAAGACCTGTCCGGGTCCTGGGGTTGGCACCGAAGTATCGTGGATCTCAACCTTGAGATTGCCGTCGAAGATTGCTTCTTTCATGATTGATGTTGAATGTTCGTCTTCTTGTAGCTGTTGATAGATAGTGAAATGAGATAGTGATGCTTTGCTGTTGGGGTCAAAACTCTTGTGATGATCGAACAAAGCTAGGGGGCGGTCGCAATGACTTATGTACATACGGCATTTCTAGTGCCTAATGTTTGACGGGATTCCATCTCAACAACGCGCAAGTAACTCATGAGAACATGGACGGCAATGCCCGGAACCCCATATGACAAATGACATCGTGCTCGGAGAGATTCTGGTCAGCAAAGTCAGCATGAGGTTTCCTTGAACTGAAGATTTCATAAGCCTGTGTTGAATCGGAGGAAAGCATCCACATCCGACGGCCGAACTTCGAGCCTTCCTTGATTGAAACCGCTTTGAGTGCTCCAGTTGATGCCGTGCACAGGTGTCTCGGTCTTTACTCAAGGCACAAAAGTTCCGATAGTGGATAGGAAGCCCCAAATGTGAGTATTGGGGTTGGTCCCACTGTAAAGTTGGAGACTTGGAGACTCAGAGAAACCGAGACAAGGACCTCCATTAGCATCTCTCCGTCTGCCTTCCTAGTTGTTTTTGGCTGTTGACCATTCGAATGATGTTTATCTTTATGTTGATAGATTCATGGTTTCTCCTGTTCCGGCATTGTACTTCTTTCGCAACTTCATCAACAGCGTCTTCCCGTGTGTTACGCTTACATCAAGCACGGATGCGGGCCAACATGGAGTTTGCCTAACGGCATTGGGCTGCCGCTTACCGTAAACACCTACCTACATTATCGCCAGCATGAAGAGCAACGCCAGGGAACAGGCGTGCTGCCGGCAAAGTCAGCCAGCAAGCCAGGGCCGGAGCCGGGTCTCCGCTCGCGGTCCGGGCCGTCAACGGGGCTCATCCGGCGATGTTCCACCCCGATAGCCGGCCGCTGGCCCGAGCATCCCGGTATTTAGAAATTGCTGGAAAGCTCGAACTTTCTCTCCTCACCCTTCCTTAATTGTTCTCTATTACGTCACAGACACGGCATCCCGCGGCCATGTGCGCGTTGCACGGCAGGAGAACTGACCGCAACGTCGCAACGTGGTACGATGGAAACGCGAGGGTTCTCCTCGGTTCTTGAAATTGTAGAAAATTCATCTTATTTATCCTATAAATCATTAAGTCAACTTTCCCTTGCTCGTCTATATCTTCTATTTGCTTACCTACTACATTCGCAATCCTCTGTCGTGAAGCATTAATGCTTCTTCCCTAAATTTCGGGTAATGTCTCTCGCTCAGCATGTCACCCAGGCCGAAGGCTTCGACTACGAACGTCCCACAGAGCAAGTCGATTCAAATGGCCAAGGCGAGCCCATCTTCGGTACACTCAACCCGTTTAATGCAGAGAGTAGCAACGACGATCCGCAATGGAGACGCTTGAGCTTTGCGCCTGTTGAGACCGTACACGCCGAGAAGCCAATCGCAGCTTATAAAGTCTCCAACACCAAACGATGGGGTAAGCGCAGCAGTCTGAATTCTGGACGGTCTCCCAACTTCAGAACTGACACCTCGCAGTGCAAGTAGCGACTAGCATAGTAGCATGCTGGCTAGCTGCTGGCATTGTCTTTGGATTCGCTGCCCTCAAGCCTGTTCTCATCGCCGAAGGCGTCTACAGCGATCTCTGCGATACCGATGATCCGGGCAAGATGGACAACGGCGAATACATCCCTTGCACCGAGCAAGACCTCAGGTTGAACTTGTTCTTCATCGCCGCCTCTGTCACAGCCAATGTTTCTTCACTATTAGCTGGCTCTGTTCTCGATCGCTATGGCCGGCGGGTTTGCTGGGTCGCCTCCTGCGTTTGCCTCACTGTGGGCTGCATCCTCATGGCAGTTTCACGCAAGTTCACCTACTTTGACGGATACTTCCTAGGAAACATCATGCTTGCCCTTGGCGGAACTTTTGTCTTTGTGTCCAGCTTCCAGCTCGCCAACGCGTTCCCAAAGTACAGTGGACACATCATCGCACTGGTCACTGGGGCCTTTGACGCGTCGGCTGCTGTCTTCCTCATCTACCGTGCGGCATATGAATCAACAGATGGCGGGCTCTCAATTGAAAAGTTCTTTTACGCCTACATCGCCATTCCAGTCCTAATTCTCATGGCCGAATTTGCTTATATGCCGGTTCGGTCTTATCACACAATTCCTCAGCTGGAACAGAAGATTGAGAAAGTTCAGGACGAGACGCACGATGTACATGAGTCCGACGATGAGGTTGATGATGTTAGGCAGTTGCGCAAAGTGCGCAGTGCTCGGGCTGACCGGCGGCTGTCGAAGCTTGACCAGATTGAAGAAGTTGCTGGTGACGCTGAGCAGCGGGAAGAGCGTATCAAGGCCAATGAGGAGCGTCAAGAAGCCAGTGGGGGTCTGGGGAGTCCTCCATGGTGTTCCGGCTCATGAGCAGATCCAGAGTCCATGGTTCATTCTCATACTGCTTTTGACTATTGTTCAAATGTTGAGGATGAACTACTTCATCGCAACTATTCATGCGCAATATCGATACATGCTGGGCTCCGACGCCGACGCCAACGACATCAACCGTTTCTTCGACATTGCCTTGCCTGTCGGTGGACTAGTTTCAACCCCGTTTATTGGTGTTCTCCTCAATAATCTCAGCGTACCGGCAGCCTTTGGTGCCTTGACTGTCCTGATCGTCGCCATTGGCGTCCTCAATTGCTTACCCTTCGCATGGGCGGGATATGCTACGGTTGTTCTCTTCGTCATCTTTCGCCCCTTGTACTACTCAGCCATCTCGTAAGTTTGGCCATTCTGTTTCTTACCAACGTTCTCGACGTCTCGTATATTAACCAAGCCACAAGGGACTACGCAACAAAAGTCTTTGGTTTCGCCACCTTCGGACGTATCTACGGTACGATTGTGTGCGCCTCGGGCCTAATAAACTTCGCCCAATCTGGCCTGGATGCTCTTACTCACGGCCCTTTGCACGGTGATCCCACACCTGTGAATATCACGCTTGGGGCATCGGGTACCGTAATTGGGGCTCTTCTGACGGCATTCGTCGCCGTCAAAGGTCGCACTTTCGTCACGGAAGAGAAGCCTGAGCTGGATGCCTTAGAAGAGAGACAGAGACTACTGTCATCGGCAGGGCAGGACTATGGAAGTCTGGAATGAGAGGTTTGATTTTACAAGATGACCCCTCCTAATGAAGAGCAAATCCGATTTCTCTCTCCTTGGCCTTTATCAACTCACTTTGAGTACTTGCCGTCTCAGTTTAGGTATCATCAATCATCGTACCTTCCAAATTTTTATACAATTGGGCGCATAGCCTTTGGATAAAACACTGCCTACTAGTACTAAGACAATCATTTCTCTTGTAAGATTATGACTGAGATTCTTTGAGCATCGGAGCCATCTGATTAATGGGAGTTTTTTGCAAGAAGTATCCGTTACCAGTCTAAACTTCCGTCCTTTGTCTCTGCTGAACTGACTTATGGGCTACGAAGTTATGTCACTCATGCGATAGGTTCGAAGTGTTCTATCAATCCGTAGCGATTCTTGGCGACGGATCCGTCCCCCTCGGCCTCCGTCGCCTTGTAAACTCAACCCATAGTTCTCCTTCTTCTATCCGTTTTTCGGAAAACTATTTCCGGATTTGTTCTGACGGCATGCTTTCTAGCCAGATCCATCTATCAAGCTGGGTCTGATTGGGTCGTGGAAGAATACAAAAATTCTGTGCTCGGTTCCGCTACTAGTCGGTACGCGGAACGCGTGGAATCCTTGAAGCAGTGACGTTGGCCTAGAGCAACTGGCTCCTTCACGAATACGCATACGGGACGAGCTCAGTATGGTTAAAAGTGACTTCGTCTATAAAACTCTTCAAAATCATCTCCAGACACAGGCATGCTATCCGCTCTTTAATCATCAATTCGTACACAAAGTAGCTTAGAGGCACAGACAGTCGACATTTCCACCATTGCACCTGGACACCATTCCTCACTTACAGCAAGTCTACGGTCACCCAAAATGAACTACCGTGGCGTTGTATACGATGTTGGCCTTCACTTCACCGCAGACGGCCCGTCTGTAGAGCCATTCGATCCCAAACTCGTGGCCCACGACCTGAAAGTTATCGCTAGCGACCTCCACGCCAACGCTGTCCGCATCGAAGGCGAATCTATCCAGCGGCTCGCGGACGCCGCACGTATCGCCCACTCATTGGGCCTTGCCGTCTTTTTCAATCCCTGGAAGATGCACGCACCAGCCGACGAGGTGCGAACATACCTTGCCGAAGCAGCGCAAGCCGCCGAAGAACTTCGTGGAGAAGGACTGGACATTGTCTTTGTCTCGCAATGCGAGTATACCATCTTCAACGAGGGTGTATTCCCTGGCAAGGACCTGATGGAGCGGGTCAAGTGGCTGAGCGAGCAAATCAAGGAAACATCCGATGGCCTCAGCATCTCCGATTTACTACGCGAGGCTTGTTCAAAGCTCAACGACATTCTGAAGTCGTTTTTGGAAGTGATTCGCCCCGTATTTCAAGGCCGAGTGACGTATTCAGCAGGAATCTGGGAAGTCATGGACTGGACACCCTTTGATATTGTTGGCGTCGATCACTACCGTCAGGGTGAGAGCGAGAGCAAGTATCTCAAGGGGTTGGAAAGGCATCGTTGCGAGAAGCCGCTTGCTGTCATGGAGTTCGGGTGCTGTGCATATGAAGGCGCTGCACCACTCGGAGCCGGCGGCTTCATGCCTCTTCAAGGAACCAACCCAGACGGTACCGGAAACTTTGCGGGGGGCATACTACCGAAGTATTCAGAAACGGAGCAGGCTGATTATGTCGAGGCAGTCATCAGGCTGCTCGCCGGGGCGAAGGTGGACGCTATGTTCGTTTACGTCTTCTCGTTCCCTACGTATCGTGCCGGAGAGGGTGCGCGGAATTTGGACATGATGTCGTTCTCATTAGTCAAGACGTGGCCGGAAACGGATGAGAGGTCAAAAGAAATGCCACCGTGGGCACCGAAGGAGGCGTTTGGGAGAGTGGCTACTGCTTACAAACAGCTTGGCAATTCCTGAATTGTAGAAAAGGTAGATATAGTGAATCCCCAAGAAGTTTGATGTTTTCTCACCTCACACCACTAGACAAAATGATCCCATATCAGCGGAATTTGACCTCGGGAATAGCAGAGGGTGGCATGCGCCAGTGACTCGGAGACGAGCCTTCGACAATACAAGTAGATTTACGTCGCAATGACAAAAAGTCAAACAAGCAATGAGTGGTTTATGAAGATAGTGGGCAGATAAATGCGTCTCTAACACAATCATGTCCTCAGCCCATCTGTTTGAAAGACTGGTTGAAAGATTAAGCACAGGTGAGTGGCGAGTGAGATGCGCCGATTCTCCGGTGGCCTGTACGATGCTGAATAATTGTGCTGCGGGCCCGTCTGATCTGTTCATGCAGCAGTTGGGGTACCCCAACTCAATGGGGACGGCCCCGATTCCACTGGGGCTGGTAGGGTTGGAGACGCTGCCCGAAGCTCCTTAGAAACCCGCGGATGGGTAACTTCAACAAGCCTTCTTCTAAGAATGGGACTTTACCAGATGAAAATTTCATGGATTCATTCAGTATCTCTACAACTGCTGTCCGAGGACTGTCTCAGGGTTTGGACGAGCATTGAGTAAATCTGCCCAGCCTTCCTGTAACAAGCCGTTCGAAAGCAAACATTGAACCCATTTACACACCCGGCCAGCCAGCCCCTTCGAAGACGTGGCAAAGCACGTGAACTCTGTGCTAGTCACAGGAAAGTTGCAACAATCAGCGAAATGAGTGCTACTTTCCACTGTTTTTCATCTACATGTCATGTTCTATGTGTGATTGATGTTGGTTGGTGGTCGCCGCAGCAAGCCAAACTAAAAGAGTCAGCCGCTTTGGTCTGGGTACTTTGGTCCTGATTAAGTTCTCTATTGCACCTCATTGCGTAGGTAATCAGCGTGATGACAAATGGCCTGAAAAGAAAATGCTTGGGCCTGCTTCTATCTTTCCTTAACATACAACTCGACTGACCATTTGTGTGGTGCTGATTTCAGTCCTCCTCACTCCAAAGTCACGTTTTGTAGGTGCAACATGGCCTCTGACAGTGTTCGTACAAATTTGTCAAAAGCTTGTCATGTCTGCCATCGCACCTTTGCTCGAGGCGAGCATCTGAGAAGGCATCTGAGAACCCGTACGTGTCGCACACAGCCTGCTTTATAATCACTAGGACGTACACTAACCAGGCCGATCATTTCGCGCTTCAGACACGAAAGAAAAGCCGTATGGATGTCATTGTGGACAAGCCTTTGCCAGGCGGGATCTGCTGACCCGCCACGAGCGTCTCTATCACGCTGCGGGTACTGCTAACACTCCACTGGCAACGTCTCCAATGACTCCAGGCCTGGGCCAAAACTCGGCAGCCCACAATCCCTGGCCGGTCTTTAATGAAGTCACACAAGGCACTAGCCAAATGACATTGAACGTATCGGGGCAATTGGAGAACCAAGGTTCAGCTGCTCCGCAAGAGCTGATGCAACAATTTCCTTACGGCAACACCCCTGATCTACTGAATCCGCCTAGTCCCATGGAAGCTATGCTTGACATCTCTGAGTTCTTCGACGCTGTCGGTCTTGACTTCCAACACGGATTCGACCTTTTTCCCTCCACAGGATTCGCTACAGAGGAGCCGGAGGAATCCACACCTATCCTTAGAACGGCTTCAAGTACGAGTCGATACCAACCAACTCCTGAAAGTCAAGACCAGGCGCTGGTCTTGAACGAGTCCCCTCCATGGCGAAACATTATTCCAATCCCAGATGCAGAGACTGGCGAAGGCAAGTTACGATTCTCTGCTTCATTATCCTTATTCCAATACCTGAACTCCTAGATGGCGTCACTACATCCGTCTCTAGTCTTTTCTTATTTTACTCTCTTTCCCTGATATCCGCATATGGATAATCTCGAAATAACGCAAACTCAGAGGAAGACTGGAGACGGAAAGAGTTACACCATCTAGGAGTTGATGGGATGAGATTCACAGGGTCAGACTTTCTAATCGTCACATCAACATCTTAGATGACTTTCAAGAGCTGAAGCCTTTGAGGCAACCGTGGAAAGTCAACGAATCTCAGCGGAGCCAATTCGTTCAACATCTCAAACCATACGCTACGGCGCTAGGATCGTTTAGGCTCCCTTCCAGATTGTCGTTATCAAGATACATCGCTGGCTATGTCGACGGATACAACGATCACCATCCTTTCATGCATATGCCAACATTCTGCATGAAGTACTATCGAGACTCTCCAGAGCTGGTGTTGGCACTCTTGGCCGTCGGTGCTCAACTTCGATATGAGACACGCAACGCTTCTGCACTGTACCGAGCTGGAAGAGCAATAATCTTGCATCGCATGGAATCCGGGGAGTTGGCAAATCAGCCTGGAGGATTATGCGGAACATGCAGATCATCAAAGCCTGTCGCTTCGACAATGAACGAAGCCAATTCTCCTACTGCCGCCGCACGCCTGGACACTATGAAGGCAATCTTATTATTGGCAACCTACTCTACTTGGCAAGAGGACCTCTGTCTCGTTCGGGAATCTCTTGAATATCAAGGCCTCCTCGCGCGGTGTCTGCGAGAGAATGGACTTGTAAACGACATCTCTCACAACGACGAGGACCTGGACTGGCAATCCTGGGCAAGAGCCGAGTCAGATCGCAGAGCAAAGCTCGCTGTCTTCTGCTTCTTGAACCTTCAAACACTCGTCTTCAACGTTCCGCCAGTCATCTTGGCGAACGAGATTGACCTATGGCTGCCAGTAACTTGTGATGAATGGCAGGCGCCTAGCTTCGCCTTGTGGCTTGAGGCTCGCCGCAAAAGCCCAGCACTCGTTCGTTTCCAGGAGGCTTTCGTGAACTTGGTCCAACCTCGCACGGAAGAACGTCTGGTTCTTTCGCCCTTTGGTAATTTTGTGCTGATACACGCAATCTTGCAGCGCTTCATTGTCGCAAAACAACTTTCTCTAGACCCCGCATCCCCGGGTTATGCTCCCGAAGATATCGCGAAATTCGAGTTGTCGCTGCACCGGTGGCGCGACCAATGGTGCAAGGCTCCCGAGTCCGTTTTAGATGTTAGGCATACCAAGGGATCTCTGTCTTGGACAGCCACGTCTCTGCTCGGGCTTGCCCACGTGCGCCTACATTTTGCTTCCAGAAGACCGCAAGAGGTTTGCTCGGGTGACCCAAAGACTATTGCTGGAAATGCCTGGGATGCTCGGCCGCCGGAACGTGGGCCTCAGCTCGTCTACGCTCTACTTCATGCAGTCCACGCATTGAATATTCCTGTACAACTCGGTATCGACTACTTGGCCAGCTGTCAGGCGTTCTTCTGGAGTCTCCAACACTGCTTCTGTTCCTTCGAGGCAGCAGTGTTTCTCAGTAAATGGCTGTATATGCTCGCAGGCACCCAGGATTCGAAAGAATTAGACGGCAAGTTACATGAGTCAACGGGATTGCTCAAATCGAGACTGACTCAAATATAAGAAAACGAACGCCAGATTATAAGGTGGGTAGAATGCATCGTCAACGAGGCCTTGGCTTCAGTCGAGGTGATTGACGGATATGACCTAAGTATCATGGAAGAAAACACCTCGCACTCTTTAGAGACTCTTGGCATTTTGGTCATCAAGTTATTCGCCAAGATGTTTGAAAGATGCAACAGCGCCTGGCCAATTATGAGGACGATCGGTCAAAGTCTCCAGGAATATGCGTGTCTTCTGGATGAACTTGGCAAGTCGCCAAATCTCGATGAGAGCAGAGGCATTGACATAAGCCCTACGACAACACGAAGTAGACAGCACATATAAACAAGGAGTTACATTATGCTGAGGTGAGCTTTCACACTTATCACACAGGTGAAGTAATTGAGTTCTCAACACGGATCACTCTCTAATATCTCTTCTGCTAACACATAGTAGCTAAGGATTGAAGTAACGGTTCATTCCGGAAGCTTGGCGCGCTCATGCGCTGATCCATGCAGGCACTGTATGACTACGGTCTTGCGGTACTATTTAAAGCATCAAGCTCAACGGGGTCACTAAACTGATTTCCAGCCATCGAGTCCATGGGAAGCTCTGATCTGGGCGTGGGCGTTGTATCTGTACTCGGTCCATTTCGACAAAAACAAGGGTCGGCCACTGAGTCCACGGGAAGCTCTGTTCTGATCGTTGGATCCATGTTCAAGCCATCTCGACGAAAGCTGGGAGAGGCCACCGGAAGCTCAAGTCTGGTCATTTCATCCTTTTCTCCGCCATCTCGATAGGAAAGAGTGTCGGTCGCGGAGACTCTCGGGAGCTCTGTTCCAGGCGCTGGGTCCGTACTCGGCTCATCTTGATAAGGATGAGGGTCAGCCACCAGGGCTACCGAAGCCACCGGAAGCTCTGTTCTAGGCGTTGTGCCCGTATTCGACTCGTCTAGAAAGGGAAGAGGATCTGCTTCAAGTTCTCTTGTCTGAAGGGGGACTACCACAGTGTCATGCCTTGGGTTCGCTTTATTGGGAGTAGGCGGTGGCACGATTATGGGTCTCCCCGACCGTCCGTCAATCCACATGATTCCCAGAAACGCAAGAACTGCTAAAATAATCGCGACTATTGCGGCTCCTGCAATAGAATTTGTCGAGGCCTCTTTCGCCGCAGGTACCGCTGTGGGAATTGTTGTGGGCTGTGGTGTGGTCTTCGCTGTAGGCACGAAGAAAGTCATGACTTCCTCCGATGACCATGATACGGAGTTAACACCTCTAAACCTAGTACTTAGCGAACGTCCCAGTTCGTCGATACTATGAACTTACCTCTCAACATACCAACGTTGAATTTCCTCGTGGCTGTGATAAGCACCAGCACTGGCGTCGTATTCGTTCTTCCAAGTCCACTCCGCCATGTCAAACAAGCCAAGCCCTTGAGGCCACGGGTCTCGAACAGCCCATCCTTCCAGATTCTCTGCGCTCTTGCTTGTTGTTCTTCCACCAACAACGACCATCTGTCGGTTTCCTACTACTGTGCAGTGGTGATCAGTCCGTGGAGACACGTCATCGAATTGCACTTGTCTCCAAACAAAACCAGGTAGACTCAAGACGAAAACATCGCTGTATGCTTTGTTAGCGGACCCAGCTGTTCCGCCGAACAAAAATCTGTCTTTGTCAACTCTGGTATTGGCTCATGACCCGGGTCCGTTCCACTTACATCTCATATGTAGTTTCGCTGCTGACTCCCACCATACAGAACCATTGTCGTCTGGTTGGTGCAGATCCTGTGGTCGTTTGACTATACCACTTCTTGGTGACTGGGTCCATGAATGTAATGTTTGAGATATCCATCCATCGGTAAAGGCTATCGCTTCCGTTGATTATGGGCTCTAAAGTTGCCATAAAGCCACCAAGGAGCACGATGATGCCATGTGGCCCAAAGTCGGGGACGTACAGTGCTCTAGCACCTCTCACTGTCCCGTAAGGAGGAAATGCATTCCTCAGCGCGGCTGTCTCGTTTGACCACTGATTTTTATGCCAATCGTAAACGACCATGCCTGGAGTAGCACGAGCTGGAGGTAGGTCTGCATCACCATTAGTTGCGTTTACCTTTGTTCGAGTTCCAGCCCAGCCCCCGAACCAGAAGCCACCGTAAGGAGTACTAGCAAATGCTCCATCCTCACTCCTCACTAATTCCGTGAACTCCGTGGGGTTGACGGGGGTCTCCTTCGTCCATTGGCCACCACCAAGACCATCGGCTTGGAACTTCCATGATCCAGTAGACAGTGATTCGTCTTTCAGATAGAGGGTGTCGGCGGTTTGTCCTCCCCATATGTAAAACGAGTCATCGTCCTTTCTTTCCCACAATGCTTGTCTGTCCATGCCATATGGTTCCTTCTGTATTTTTCGGAATGAGACGTTGGCGGGGGACCATGATTCGGACAAGTCGATTGAAAGGGTAGAGTCGACTAGGTTGCCCTGCTGTCAGACGATTGTGTCAAAAGACGACGAAAAGTGTTACTGGAAGACTCGCCTGGATGTGAGCCACGGGTCTGGTTCACTTCGTAATCAAAGAAAGTGTATGGCTTTCCTTCGGCGTGGAGCTGAGAGACCTCGCCGCCATCGATGTAGAGAAAATTACCGATGACCACAACTGAAGTTACATCACCTGTTAGCTGATCATTTCTCTTGATATTTCAATCAACCGAGTGTCTTTACCATTAGATAGGCCTCTTCTAAGGAAGAGATCAGGAGCTGGTACGTCAGATATTTCCCACGCGGGCGCTTCGCGCCAGAATCGAACCCCCAAAAACAGATGAGCACTTCTCGTGAAGTAGCGAAACAACATGTTGACTCTATAGTATGTCAACTGAAAGCTGAAGTCTGAAGCCTGGCGCCATCAAATACTACCAGTGTGCGAATGATTGTTTCAAACTTCAAAGGATGAAGTTCGATGGGGCTTTGTCAACATGGCCGCTTGTCATGGCAGACGGAGAATAGAAGACGCCTCTACCTTAGTTGATAAGGGGGGGCGATGTGATTGAATACATCCATAGTCCTCGGGCGGCTCGCCACTTTAATTCGGTAAAGTAGCACAGCAATACATGGCACGGGCGCAGTGAATGTCGAGACCTTCCCCTTCGCTGCAAAGGGCCTTCGACGAACATGAGAAAATTTAGTTGGTGTTACCACGTCATCTTCTTTCACCTCCAATGAGTTTTAACTCTACAAATACATTGAAATTGGCGTTACGCTTTGTACGACTCAAGCAGGTAGGTAGTTTCGGGCCGTTCAAGGTTCATTTACGCACTCTTCCGCTCGAGTCCTCAAGTAGACGGCGTTTATGCAGCCAAGGTGGCATGTCTATTTCAAGTCGTAGGTCATACACAAACATTTGAAACTCAAATTGATCCTGTTAGCTTGTCTCGAGCCTGGTTTTGTGTAACTGAAAACAGCTTTACGAGAAAGCTCGCGGCTTCCTGCTTGTTCATCCTAGAAACCAAAGCTTGGGTGCTCCTCTCTACACCTGCGAGAATGGCAAAAGATTCACAGGCTTATTGTCCTGATTTCCAACATGAACAAGCACTTGAAATATTATTTGACCACTTTGTTTTGCAAGCTTTATACCACAATGATTTTAGTTGCACAACGTTGGAAAGGAGTGCTTCCCACAGAAACTTACCGCGATAGTTCTGGCGCACTAGCTTCATTATGCACTTCAAGTATGGGCCAGAGAGATGTGACGAAAGCAAAAGATCGGAATGATCAATGAAGAAGGATCTCAACTTCTTGAAACTGGCGAAGCCAAAGGGACAATCAACTACCTGGTTGAGACCGGGATATGAACGACTCTCTTTCGATGAACAGATTGGAAAAGGCTGTCCAACCTGATCTACATGCACACACTATAGGCAGGGGACTCAATGTCAACGTCAACAACCTCATCCGATCAATGATTTCACTGCCATCCCTCGAAACCACTCAATATTCACAGTCTCTCACACCTTTAACTCTGCCATGCATCTAGGCACCTACTAATCTGTTTCAAATGATCCTCATCGTCAAAGGCCGAACTCTCATCTGCAGAAGCATCATCACGGAATCGCCAGCGAACATTAAGCAAAGCTAATTGATTGATACCATTCACTTAGGCGGTGAGATGAGCTAGTCAAGATCGTCAGTTGCCCATCGGAAGTTGGCCCCTAGTCGTCCTGTGCGCATTAATAGACATTGCGCCAAACATGGTTCAGACGACGATCAAACCGCAACTGACCGATCTATCCGTTCGGATGACACATGTCATGATCCGAACCCGATGGAGTCTGGGGGAAGTTCAGCCGCAAAACTAGGAGTTATTTGATGACGACCGTGCTATTTCCATTGCCAAGTTTCAGGGACCCAAAAAATGACTTCAGATTTCCTGGTACTCGTCTCACGGATAAGTGTCACGATGCCGGTGCCGGCGGGATGCCCAATTGACAGGGGATCAATGTCTACAACTACGAAACTCTGTCAGTCGATGCATCCAACGATCCGAGTATTTAGAGACTCTTTGCGTCGAGACCAAATGGTTCTTGATTTTTCATCAATCATTCTCTTATCAATCTACAGTGCAAGCACATTCGCTTCAACGACCTGGAGTCGCATTTATCTTAGAATCTCTCTTTAATTATCAATCAAGTTTACACCCGCAAAAATGGTCCGCATCACTCTCTTCGCCACTCTCGCTTGTGAGTATCAGTCGCTCGGGCTATCGGATTGAGGTCTTGTTGCTAACTTAGTCGCAACCTAGTCGCGATGACCGCACTCGCAATCACCCCCAACAACGCCGGGGCTAAGAACGTGGGCCAGGGTAATGGAGCTCAGTTCATCACCGGAGGCTGTGTCGATGACGCCGACTGTTCTTCCGCATGCTGCGCGGATGCTAGCGGCGTCGGCGTGTGCTCGGCCGAGGCGGCTCAGTTCCAGAACGGCAAGAACGGCTGCAACTTCGTCGATCCCAACAAGGCGGCAACCATTGCTGCTGCCAAGGCTCAGGTTGCAAAGCAGGGCTTCTAAGCTGGAATGCAGGGGCCCTAGCATCTAAGAAGGAGGATGGATTTGCAGGAACGCTCGGCCATACCTTGGTCCTTACATGGTGACTTGGACTATAGCGTTAGCTGGAAGAATGCCTACCTGAGTATTGTACTCGATGGGATATAACACTGCCAATCATTTTCAAGAGTTGTGAACCCCGAAAAATCATCCAAAGAGTCTGAAAATTTTCGTACCACTGTGTACTCATCGTGCTCATTTGCCCTCCTGGCTACTTGGACCAGTTGAGCTGTTTGCTCCAAGTTCCGTATTTCCCCAGTTGTTCGGACGACAGATATCATGTGATTGCATGGACAACTTGCTGACTTTCGAGCACGATGCTGAACACCTTAACCTGCTGAACGGTATCCTACCATAGCAGATGCAAGTGTAAGCATGGGAAGCAACACGCTCCCGAGTCGTTGCCTCCTCTCATCTTCACGCGCAGCGGTGCTGAGCCTCGTCCAGTTATGCGCCTTTCGAGTTGAGCCGTTTAGGAAGCTGCAAGGGTTAAGTTGTTAAGCGAAGGTTTGTGCCAAGGTCATTTTATGGCTCTCGGTTGGGCGTCTCGCAAAGCACTAGAACATCGCCCAGACATGCGTGGATGTGGAACTTCCTAAATAGCAATGGGTCCTTCGCGCAACGGTAGACTGTGCTTACTTATATAGCAATGACGTGACTAGGATATTTCATTGCGAGCATGAAAGAATGAAGCCACGTCTGTTATGACCCCTCTCACTGCCGCACGATGGTTGAACGCTCAACAGCCGAGTCTAAACTGGAAGTGGCAGCTGCGATGAGCTTAATGCCTTGGCGACCCAGATAAGCTTAAACGCAATAATCCTCCTGCCCCATGTTTCCTTTCGCTCCGACGTAATGTCACCATGCACAGAGGTTACCATATAATTGTGTTTAAACCCGCTGATCACTGTAACCCGGGGGCCGATGCAGATGCCTTTTTCGGTAGCTAGTAGACCGGAGGCTTCTGCGGCCCAGCCCGGAAGCGCGGGTGATCCCCCGCAACTATAGAGTGCGCCTGTCGAGTTGGTTATTCTTGCCTCTCGTCTGATATCCCTGGGCGTGGTATGCATGTTCGCCAATTTCTTATACGAATTTTGGAAAGAGCGGGACGGAAGTTGCTTGGAAGGAACGACAGGTTCTCCTTCCGAAAAGGCATCTACCTTACCGTATAAATGTTGACCACCCACGCCACCTCGCCTACAACTCCCTCTTTTTCACCTCTTCACCCACGAGCTTTTCCCTCAAGCCGTCTGTCAACTTCACTTTTTCACTCCTCCATATCCAAGTTCGTTACCTTCCATCATCAACAGCTTCAAGGTAAACAAGGACCATCATGCGCTTCAGCACCACTCTCGCCGTCGTCGCGGCTTCATGCGGCCTCGCCGCCGCGGCCCCCGCGACTGGCGATGTTCAGGTCAACCCCGGTCTGCGCCTTGTCAAGACCTATGAGGAGGATCCCGGCACCTGGGTCACTGAAGATGAGAAGTACGAGAAGTACACCTCCAAGGGTATTGGCTTCATCGATATCACCGATGTCTCCGTAAGTCATACTAGCACAAACTCCAAAAATACTCTCGCAGATATCATGGAATGAAGGCTAATCAAACATACAGGATGAGGAGGTCTTGGACGCTCTCTCGAACGGCGGCAACCATCTAGCTTCTCGTCAGACTGTTGTCTACCCAACCACTCTCAGCCACGTCACCGAGGCCAACTCTCTCATCACCAGAGTCAGCAACACCAACCCTCAGACTTGGCTTCGCACCTTGACCAAGTAAGTCTTCAAGCCTATCCCTCTATGAGATGCTAACTGATTTCATCAGCTTCCAAAACCGTCACTACCGCTCTACTTACGGTACCGAGGCCTCTACCTGGCTCTACAACCAGGCTGTCAGCATCGCCTCCGGCTACTCTGCCATCACCGTCTCCCGCTTCACCCACTCCTTCAACCAGCCCTCCATCATTGTCAAGTACCCCGGTACTAGCTCCAATCTCAGTAAGTCAACAATTGAGCATAAAGTCGTTGCTCAAGGACACCTCCTTCCCTAAGGTGAATTTCATACTAACAACTTATTCCCAGTCATCGTTGGTGCTCATTATGATTCTACCGCTGGATCCACCACTGCCCGCGCTCCTGGCGCTGATGACAATGGTACCGGCACTGTCAACCTGCTTGAGGCCCTCCGCGTTCTCGTCGCTGCTGGTTTCCGCCCCCAGAACACCATCGAGTTCCACTTCTATGCTGGCGAGGAGGGTGGTCTCCTTGGCTCCCAAGCTGTCTTTGCCAACTACAAATCTGCGGGCAAGCGTGTCCTCGGTATGCTGAACCAGGACATGACTGGCTACTCCCCCGGTGGCAAGGCTACTGTGTACACCGACTACGTTGACACGGCTTTCACTGCCTACGTCCGCCTCGTCACCACTCAGTACACCGGTGCTGCTCCCTCCAGCTCTTCCTGTGGCTATGGCTGCTCTGATCATGCCAGTGCCCGTTCCAACGGTTTCCGTCAGTTACACTTTCGCATTGTTAGAGTGGATATGTACTAACATTTGTTCAACAGCTGCTGCCTTTGTCAACGAGGAGCCCTTCAGCACTTCCAACCCCAAGATCCACACTTCCAGTGACGTAAGTCGGGCCATTGACCCTGGATGAGACAATCATCTAATAATTCTACAGACCTACGATAGCGTTCAGTGGAACGCTATTCTCCGTCACTCGAAGCTCACGGTGGGCTTCCTAGTCGAGGCGTCTTATCTGGCTTAGGATGTCAGAGCCATCTGGTGCATTACCCCCGACCGTCGTCGCCCTTGCCCCAAGGGACGGAGCCCGGGTGAGCATCTTTGAAGGAATACTTTGCTCCCCTTCAGACTCTTTCCAACTCCTTCAGAGTACATATTCTATCAGTCAACAATCAACACTGAACAGGGCGTGGCTACGCTCATAGTATTAACAAAATCAATTCATCACACAAGCTGAAAGCCTTTCGAATCGTCAATCGCAAGTGTCTGCCAAAGTCCCCTTTTTTGCGATATCGAGCCCAATGACTTGTGTCCAATGAATAACCCCTTTGGGGACCCGTTTTCCTTAGCCCAAATAAGCAGGTCGTTGACAAAGCCTCCAAGATAAGATGTAAGCTTCGGGGTAGCTTAGAGCCGTGCCACATGCTGACATGCCATTATGCCCTTCTCTCTTCCCAGGTCCGATGCTGACTACCTTTTCTCATCATCTTCTCCAAAACAAAGACAGCATCATGCGGCTTCTTCAACCTTTAACTCTTCTGGTCATTGGTGCACTAGTCACTAGCCAAAGGGCCGATCTCAGCAATTGCCCTCTACTAGGACCAGCCTATCCTCGTCCAAAGCTTCATAAGTCACAAGTGATCAAAGACACGCAGGAGTCATTCGCAAAACTCATCGAGAATGCGGTTTCGACCGGCGAAACGGACTTGGGCAAGATAAACACCGCTACTGCCTCGTTTTCGATCGGTGTATTTTCTGCGGACTCGGATGAGTTCCTCTACGAGCATCATCATCAGGGCACCGAGCTCGAAGGGACGGTCACCGGCGGCTCATTGGATCTGGATACGCTGTATCGCATCGGTAGCGTCACCAAGCTTCTGACTGTGTACACCATTCTTGTTAAGCTGGGCCCTACGTACTGGAACGAGCCGATCACCAAGTTCATCCCGGAGCTCGCGAACGCGCCGGCAGGAAACCGGGCGCACAGGGTGCAATGGTCTGAGGTGACTTTGGGGGGGTTGACAAGCCACATGAGTGGTATTGCACGCAATAGTACCACGACCCATCTATCTTTGTGACCATCGATAACTCATCGCAATTAGATCACTTCGTCGACCTATCTGGCATCGATGGTATCGAGGATATGGGACTCCCTCACCTGAACGCTTCCGATATCATCAAGTGCGGTCTACCGGAGATGCGACCTTGTACAAGAGAAGGTGCGTGATGTTCAAGTTTCTCTTTGATTTGGTTCTGACTGAATTCACTACATACAGAGGTACTCAATTCCTTGCTGGAGCAGTATCCCGCTACAGCAACCTGGCATACCCCAGTGTACAGCAATGAAGCCTTCCAGCTCATAGGGTGGGTGTTTGAGAACATTACAGGCGGCCCCGTAGGAGATGCCTTCGAGGCCGGTATTGCAAAGCCCCTAGGCTTGTCTCGAACTTTTTGGGATCCGCCCAAAGACGACCCAAATGCCAATGTTGTTGATCTCGATTCGTCGACGACGAAGTCGTTGATAGGCTACCCATTTGGAGAGGGGTTAGCCACGTACACCCCGTGAGTGAACTTACAAGTACCTTACGAATACCCTCTTCACCTCTCAGTCGGGGCTGACTTATGCCTCAAGCACCGGTGGTGTCTACTCTTCCATGGGTGACCTCTCCACCATTGGCCGCTCCATCCTGGCCTCATCTCTCCTACCTAAATCAGTGACTCGCGAATGGCTCCGACCGGTAACGCATACTCAGCACACCCACAGTGCCGTTGGAAGACCATGGGAAATCACACGTATGGACGTCGCCGCAAGCCCCGGCTCCAAACGCACCCGTCTCGTGGACCTATACACCAAGAACGGCGGCATCGGTGCCTACCTGACTTACCTCATCCTCTCGCCCGACCACAACATCGGCTTCACTCTCATGACGGCCTCCAAGAATGCCTACGGAGACGGTATTCCCGACTCTACTTTTGACGTCCTCAGCGAGTTGCTCCTGGAGAAGTGGATCCCCGCCGCCGAGGCCGCGAGCCGGGAGGCGGTGGGTGAGGACCTTGTTGGCACCTATGTAGCTGACGACGGATCGGACTCTCGGGCCGAGTTGGCGCTCGTTTTCGACAGACTCGGTCTGACGCTCCAAAAACTTGTGCTCAACGGCACGGACTTCTTTGCGAAGGTGGGCGGAAAACTTGGTTTTCAGGGTGCTGATCTACAATTCATAGGCCTCCAAGACGAAGGAGAGATGTCATTCCGAGCCGTCTTTTCGAGTCCTGATGCAGCGCCCTCGGGTCGGGAACCCGTACTGGGGAAGAAGTGCGGGTCGACTTGGGGAGGCGCTGGGTCACTTACGTACGGCAACATTGCCTTAGACGAGGTTGTTTTCACTGTGGGTGAAGACGGGAAGGCAACCAGTGTAAGCTTCCCCGCGCTGCGCGTGAAGTTCATCAAGGAATCGAGCAAGACATTGACGGGGGTAAAAGAGGGTGGAGTATTTGAAGAATTATGATTTAGTCAATATTCTTAAGGGTATTACTATAGTCAAAACACCTGATGGTTCTATTTACATCCGGCTCATATCCCAGAGCTCTCAGCCACTCCCATTCATAGACCTCATCAAATTTCTTCAGCCTCTATTCAAGCTCTACTCCTCCACGCTTCCAATGCAACATCGCGCCAAATGACAAAACAGATCCCAGAGAAACGGCCACTCTATGCGCGGTACTGGTTCCAGAAGCTGTACATGCGAGTCTGCTGGTTGGGAGTGAACTCCTCGTAGCAAGAGTCGTAAGAGTAGTCCATGTAGTTGTGGATGGGGTCAAGACCAGCCTGGCTAGGGCAGGAGTCACGACCGGTAGGGCAGCCGGTGGAGAAGCTGGCTTGAGCGGGGGTGTCGGCGATAGAGTCGCCGGCGCCGGTGCAGCCGCCCTGGAAGGTGTGGTAGAGACCGAACCAGTGGCCGACCTCGTGGGTGACGGTCTTGCCGAGGTTGTAGTTGGTCTCGCTGCCGCCGGGGACGGTGGAGGAGAGAATGGTGCAACCGTCACGGATGTAGGCGGTTGAGCCAGCGGCGGCAGTGGTGGGGAAGTAGCAGTACCCGAAGTCGCCGCCGAGGGTGCGGACGAAGTAGAGGTTGAGGTCCTTGTAGGTTCCCTTGCGGAGGGCACGCTTCATGGCCATCTCGTCCCCATCCTGGGCCCAGGCGGAGTTGATGGTGCGGGTGGTCTCAACCAGGGTGTAGCTGATGCCGTGAGGGGCAAAGTCACTGTTCATGACGGCTAGCTGGTCAGACAGCATCTTGTCCTATTGAGGCTATTAGAGATCGGCGGTACAAATTCAGGGTGTCCCGGTGTTACTCACAGTGATGTAGCCATTGGCCACGGTCTGGGAGGAGGCAACAACGTGGAAGTAGACGTTGACATTGATGGTGGCCGCCGCCATCAGGCTCACCGTGCCATTGTTGGCAGCCTCCTCCTCGGCAAGCTTCTTGGAGATCTCAATGTGCTCAGGGGTAGGATCATGAGTACCGCAGCCGAGACGGGCGGGGGTGACAGCGGCGGAGGCGGCAGCGGCAAGAGCCGCAACGACAGAGAGCTTGAACTGCATGATGAAGAGCTAGACCGATTGGATCGAGGCTTGGACAAGGAGACCGGGACTTGATAGAGCTAAGAGTGATAGGGAGGAAGGGAGCGAAAGGACCTCAAGAGAGGAGGATTAGCAACACATATATACTCGAGGGCATCCTCTTGGGTGTATCTCGATGTTTCTAGTTCCTATGATACATGGTGATGGGTCAAGGAGTTAGTCAGGAGCTAAGATGTTTGCGACCTTCCGGATCAGTTCAAGGCCACCTTTGGCTCTGTCAGTCAAGCTTAGCTTGGAGGAAAACACAAGTTCTGAGATCGAGAAGACTGGATGCGCGGGAATGAATGTCATGGGGTAAGCTAGAATGCCTTCCTCATTAAGGATGAACTGAGGATTTCAACATGGGCAACGGGCCATTCACCGGGGCCGGGCACGGGGTGGACATCGGTTGTGAACCACCCGGGGAAAGACATGTAGTTCTGATTCGTGGACTCTGAGATACGACGATCTTGGCATGCCAAAGTCCATATTGAGCTGAGCTGAGAGGTTGAGGCGATGCTTGATGCTTCCTCGTGCCCTAGGTGGGTAGCATTAGCTGCAAGAGTTGCATGAGTCGGAAGAGGCCGAGAAGCGCTGGAGAGTGGATGGGCACCCGCACAAGTTGCAACAACCACAAGGCCGATAAGAGATCCGATGATCTCGTTACGTCGACGGTCGAGCGAGACCGGTCAGTCCTTGATACCCCTCGGAGATGATTCTGAGAGGACGAGTAAGCTTTGAAAGCCGGCGCTAGCGGAGTGCGGTGGTATCGCGACATTAAACGCTCCGTTTAACGTGCATGCCAAGCTCTCGCCAAGACGGCCAATCATCCAACCAGGGCAGTACCGTTCAACCTCCCTATTTGGGCCTAATCAAGTTATTGATCGCGTCTATTATGTGGGAGTTGACTTAAGTTAAGACACTCTTGCTTAACAAAGTACTCTTTGGTGTTTGTCGTGGCGAGTGGCTAAGTGTCAACCAAGAGAAGTTGTCTTGGGCATCCTTGGGCGAATGGGGCTCTTGGCTGGCGTCCATCATGACGGCTTGCCTTGCATACAGCAACGCCCAAGATATGTGAAGTCAGAACAACCTTCTGTTTTCGTCGAGGGACTTTTGAGAAGAAACGGGGCATCGGTGTAGGGTTGCATAGAGTCTTGGCTTTGCCAGGTCAATGCACTATTGACAAGAATGGCCAGGACGGGCAACTGAAATAGCAGAGAATTGATTGATCGGCAGCGCTTCGCCCACCAGTGGCACCGACCCAGCGCGATGGCCTCGCCGTCCCCGAGCTTTCGAGAGACAAGGACGGAGGAGTCCGCCGCGTATGCCAGAGCTTCGAGCTTTCGATACGAGTGGCCGACCACACGAGTTGTATAAGGTAGGTATATTGACTCGCTGAAAAGCGGGTGGCTATCAATCAGGTCGTTACTCAACGATTCGAAATCCTAGATACCCATTTAGAGACTCAACTGTGGCATCAAGTCCACTTGGACTACGAGCAAGTACCTCACAGTTTCAAAAGACATCGAGAGGCTGTCTCAAGCGCATTGCCCTTGGGCAGATTTGACTTTGCCTGTTCGTCTACCACTCACAAGCTCATGTGGGACTAGAGAACCTCCTAGGCATCGCAAGGATGTAGATAGCGGCAAACATATCCCAAGTAGCGAAAATGTCTCGAGAATGGAGTGATTGAACAGTATGAGTTAGTAGCATGGGAGTGGCCGCGATCGTGCAGAGGGAAGACTGGACGAAAAGCAGGAACAGCCCAGCCTGGGCCAGGGGCAGAAAACCCTCGGAGTAAGCTTAATTCTCGGCCCGGCTCCTCTCACCGAAGATAGGTACCTTAGGTACGGCTGGGATGGGACTGCATCGAGGTGAGGACTCAGCAGACGAGGTGTGTCTCGGTGGCGCCCAGCCACAAAGGCACCGGCCACCCCGAGGGGACCTCTCAACCACGTGAGTGCGAGTTGTGGCGCCGGGAATTTCGCGTCGCTGCCTGCTGGAGAGGCGCGCCGCGCGACGGCACTTAAACCCCAACGCCAAATGGCGGGCACCCTCCATTGGATTCCTCCCCTCCAATTCAGGAGACCTTGGAACACAATACCACAGTGAACTATCTGCCGATCGACAAGTCTCAACACCGCGCATCTGGGCCTGGGACTGACCCATTGGCCCGCTCGACATCATGCCCGACTTTACAGGTAATCCGCCTTCTCCCTCCGGATCAACTGGCATCAAACAGCTCTAACCCACTGTACAGAGGCGGACACTATCCGCATTCTGGTTGCGACAGACAACCATGTCGGCTACGAGGAGCGAGACCCGATTCGCAAAGACGACAGCTGGAAAACGTTCGACGAGATTCTGAACCTCGCCAAGAGCCAAGATGTAATCAGATGCATCATCTCAAGGTGCTTCGCCGGCTGACATGGAGCATAGGTCGACATGGTGCTATTGGGCGGCGACCTCTTCCACGACAACAAGCCATCCCGAAAGTCCATGTATCAGGTCATGCGCAGTCTTCGAAAGAACTGCTTGGGCATGAAGCCCTGCGAGCTCGAGTTCCTAAGCGATGCGAATGAAGTCTTTGAGGGTGCATTCCCTCATGTCAACTACGAAGACCCCGATATCAACATCTCCATACCCGTTTTCTCGATTCACGGAAACCACGACGATCCCAGCGGCGAGGGCCACTTCTGTTCTCTGGACTTGCTCCAGGTTGCTGGGCTGGTCAACTACTTTGGACGCATCGCCGAGGCCGACAACATTGAGGCAAAGCCGGTACTGCTACAAAAGGGTCAAACAAAACTGGCGCTATTTGGGCTGAGCAATGTTCGCGATGAGCGCATGTTCCGAACATTCAGGGATCATAAGGTCAAATGGTTCCGCCCGGGTGTCCAACAGTCAGACTGGTTCAACTTGCTCACCGTGCATCAAAACCACCACGCACATACCGCAACATCATATCTCCCCGAGAATGTCCTGCCCGACTGGATGGATCTTGTTGTTTGGGGCCATGAGCACGAGTGCTTGATTGACCCTCAACAGAATCCGGAAACCGGCTTCCACGTCATGCAGCCCGGCTCCTCGGTGGCGACATCTCTGGTCCCGGGCGAGGCGGTACCAAAGCATGTGGCGATTCTGAACCTCACTGGCAGAGATTTCAAGGTTGAGAAGCTACCGTTGAAGACCGTACGCCCATTCATCACGAAAGAGATCCAGTTGTCGACCGATCCGCGGTTTAAGGGCCTGCACACGAAGAAAGAAAACAGACAGGAGTTAACCAAGAGACTGATGGTGGTCGTTGAGGAGATGATACAGGAGGCGAATGAGGAGTGGTTCGCCGTCCAGGAGAACGACGAGGAGGAACCTCCGCTGCCCTTGATCCGCCTCAAAGTAGAGTACACGGCTCCAGAGGGTGGTCAGTACGACTGCGAGAACCCCCAGCGGTTTTCAAATAGATTCATCGGCAAGGTGGCAAACACCAACGATGTCGTCTACTTCCACCGGAAGAAGGCCAGTGCTACCCGTAAGTTCTTTGTTTCGCACGATCTTACTCACTAGTACTCATACTTTGCAGGACGAAACGCCGACACAGACATTCCCGAGGCCCTCGAGGAAACATTAGGTCTGGACACTATCAAAGTGGAGGCCCTTGTACAGGAGTTCCTCGCAGCTCAGTCTCTGAAGATTCTGCCAACAGCACCCTTCGGCGATGCCGTCAATCAATTCGTCAACAAGGACGACAAGCACGCGATGGAGGAGTTTGTCAGTGAGTCGCTGGCTGGCCAGGTGAAGCAGATGCTCAACCTCGACTCCGATGAAGACGACCTCGACGTTGCGATGGAAGCGTATCGGGCCAAGCTCGAAGAGGCATTCTCAAAGGGAGCCCTGAAGAAGACTAGCAGGCGTACTGTGAAACCTAAACCAGATGAGTGGGACTCTGACCTCGATGGACACTGGGAGGATCAGCCTGGAGTGGTCGAGACCGAATCAGCCGCTCCGACTACAGCCAAATCACGAAGGACTGCTTCACAGGATGACGAGGATGACCTCATGGACGAGGACGAACCCCCAGCCCGTCAAGCACCTGCAAAGAAAGCGGCGGCCACTCGAGCTACGAAGGCCGCCCCGGCAAAGAAAGCCCCGGCGAAGAAAGCTCCAGCCAAGAAACCACCTGCGCGAGGCCGCAAGAAGCCCGTCTTTGAGGACGAATCAGAGGAAGAGGACGTGGTGATGGACGATGACTTTGAGGAGCCGCCGCCACCGCCTACTCGAGGCAAGCGGTCTCAGCCTACACATGCGGCCCCGAAGACCACCCGGCAGACTAAACTCAACTTCTCGCAAGCTGCCGCCTCTCAAGCCGCTGTCGAGATCAGTGATGATGAGATTTCGGACGAGGATGCGTTCGAGCCGGCACCGACAACCCGCAGCAGACGGAGATAGCTATCTGAGACATGAATAGGGTCAGCTGTGATGTGATGGAAAAGTTGCCGAGATGTGATGGTGTCTCTTGCATGGTTAGCCACTTGGAGTCAGGGAGCGGGATTTTGCTTTGACTTAGATCGATGAACCAAGATACCACGTCGCCAATGAGAAAAGTTTGCCTCTTGACTATGCGTTTGTTGTCGAATTTCTCCGTCGTTTGCCTTGCCTCTCGTTGTGTATGTCCATCTATAACAACTTTTGTCATGTCCCAGCTTCGCCTATGAGCGGAAACATGTGCCTTGGCTATGTCCTCTATAGGCATGAGCAATCTTTAATCTAGGGTTGGACTTGACTTCCCTTGGAGCCATCATGGCTCCCGCCTTCTAATCTGAACATTGATACTTATCTACCGCTCCATCAGCTGAGACTTGACAGAGTCCACTATCATTCAGATCGTCGATGGGTGCCGGATTCAGATGCGAACGTAGCTGTTAACAGCCTTCGTTTCTGAACTGATCGGTCCGTTATACGTTATTCCAAGCCATTGAGCAAATGTCCTGGTTTTTTCAGTAGGAATAATGGTGTCCAGCTTCCCGCCCAGCTATGAAATAACGATCTCCATTCCAATGTGTCTTCTGTTCGACTCGCGGATGAAAGCCAGGCGCTCATGTGTTGCTATGAGAGACATTTAATAGCTATGTTTAAGTCAACTCCGCAGAGAAATGTCTCTAGGCCACCCCCCCCCCCCCCCCCCCCCCTTAGGCCCAAAGTTGTATATGAAAGAGCAGCTACGGGGGGTCTCTTAATCCTCATATGCAACACATGCTCCCAGACACCGTTTTTGCAGGTTCGCAGCGATGAGCGCGCTGTATATGAGCAAGATGCCTCGTCTCGATCGATTATTATCTCTGTGGCGGTACTTTCTAATCGTCTGGCGATTCCTAAGTAGTGCTCTCCAACCGCTTCGAACCCCTTGCTCCCCTTCGACCCCTTTCCACGGCGTATCATTAGTGAATACCCAGCCAGAGACTCTCAGGAAGGGAACCTCGACTCTGTAGCAGCGTCGAGGGCTGCGAGGTGATTATGATTACATGGAAACCCAGTGTGGCAAATGAAAATTATGGCCGCTCATCAACTATCGCCTCCGCGCACGATACATGTGGTAGCCTTTCTTCTTTACTAGAACCATAGCGACCTAGTAAAAGAAATAAGTGACCAAATCAAAGACAGTCAGTCTTCTCTACGACAACAATTCAAGTACTGTCCACCTACTATCTGAAAGTTCCCGGACCTTATGTCGTTGATGGAGTTTCAACCCCGTTTGCCAAAAACATCGCAACAAGGAGCCTATGGTTGATGGGATAGCTGAGGGGGTTAGTATGAAAATAAATGATGCGTCTTTGACTGCTCCCTCTGCCCGAACGGTGAAAGCTGAGTTTGCATCCAAGTAGCTGCTCGAAACGCTCAAGTAACCTGGCAAAGACCTTGAGTTGGGCGAGAAATAACGAGAAGAGGATAGGATCCCCTAGGTCAGACTCGATCAACAATAGCGGCGACTAACCAACAGATGAGGACTCTGTGTTCACGCTTGGCAAAGGTGCTGCCGGAAGAACATCTGCGAGAAAAAGCCATACGATATTACCAGTTTTGACATTCAGCTAATGCTACTGGAGATCTAGCTCATACGGACAAGCTCGTATCCTAGGTCATCCGCGAGACCATGGCCGCAAACAAATAATCAAGTAGCACGGCGCCAGAAGGTATTCACGGAGGCACTCTCTACACATCCTCAACGGGATTCCAACCCTTACCTCGCAAGACCCTCGTCTATAAAGACCTCTCATCCGTCGGAGGGCAGGTAATATCCTACTTGACTCGAGATGTTAAGCCCGGAAAACATATAGGTCAACGTTAATACAGCTATACCGCGACACTATCCTAATAGTCCCAGTTCCCACACCTCTCCTTTGGCTTGAATGCTCCTTTCGCATCATTCAAGCCAACCACAAGTCCATCTTCGACGAACGCAAGGAAGACGAGAATCGCTTGGCCTCAGGCTATGCTCCTTGTACCAAGGCTACTCACAAGCTCAGGTTCGCAGCAGTTTTCATGTCTCCAAGTCTGCTATACACGAGGAGGCAAAAGGGCCGTCGCTAGTCTCCTATTTTGCCCCTGAGACGTCGGGGGAAATGGGGGTCAACGGGAATGCTGACGAAGCCAACACCAGGACGGAGATTGTGACGTCCGGTGTATCCGGGGCCAAGCAAGCAGGAAACTACGCCGAACTCCCTCTCAAGCTCAAGAGACACCAGCTTCCTTCCAACGCAAACATTTGCTCCTTTTTGTACTTCACAAAGCTGAGCTGGCTTCGAGCAACCTCATCGAAGGGCGGGTCTCGATACCTAGAGTATGGGTGGCATGCTATCGTCCTCATTGTATTTAAAAGATACTTCTTCTTGGTGACCGTGAGTAAACAAGAACCTTTTCGGCGCTCAGTGAACCTTTTCTTTTCCTCGATGCTGCGTCACGCGTTGTCGAACACTTGGCAGAGCCAAGATCAAGCTCTTGAGTCGCCCAGATGAGCCTATCGATCCGACAGACGCAACGCGGTCTCCGCAGCAGTCAAGGTTTCGAGGTTGCAGGAAGCCTCATTTAGCATGACTCGATGGCAATCTCATCTCAAAGACTCTTCAATTTCACCTTGGATCTAAAGCCTTCTGGGTGATTTAATGATTGAATGCTTCCGCTCGGGGACCTTTGAACTGTCAAGACCTCAAGCATCGAGCATAGCATATAAGACGCCAAGAGGTACCTTTCTCTTGAAAAGCAGCTCTCACGAGACTTTCCTAGCAAGCATGAGAACCAGTCGAGCCATTCGGCCTCTTCACAAAGACAATTCGCGCCTGCTGGATGGCTTCGACCTGGGGAACTCTCGCCGCAGGTCTCGTGTCATCCAACGCACCCTTTGCACACCCATGGTCTCCTCACTCAACGCGCAGACCCTCGTGGACTCGCGTTTTCCAACCGCGGCAGCAACGATCTCATTTCGCGGGAACGAGCCGGGCTTCTCGAAGCGCTCATGCGTGCGAGTGGAGTCGGATGAAGGAGTATGTAAAGATTTTTTGGGATGAATCCACTTGAAGCCTAAAGCCGTTGGATCCCATCAGGGGTGCTTGTCTTTCGCCTCTCGGGCATGAAGACTTTCTGTTGGTCTCGGTAGAAATTCTCGAAGGTCCCGACGATGCTCTTGATGGAGCCGAATCCCTGGCTCGGGCCAAGGGTGGACAGTGGATACGTCCAACGGTCCTCGAGTTCTATTCTCGAAGTAGGAATCACCAAGCAAAGTAGCGGCAAACAGACGAGGCTTATAGCACCATATTGCGTTAGGGTCTCGCGATATCCTACAAGCTGTGAGTACGAATACTAGCAGCGAGACCATTTATTATGTGGCCGATTCAGTCATCCCGTCTGGAAGCAAACGATCGTTACGAATGGAAATATGCTCGTCAACGGTTGGTTGGACATGAACGCACGAGTGAAGTTCACAGACCCAAGTCCCGCGAAATGTGCAGGGTGTTACTTTCCTCTCGCTCAGGATTGCCACTGAACTTTGAAGGAAGCAGTCCATTACGGGAGTCGCCATTGTTTACCGTGAGGTTGGCGAGGAATATGGGTCATCTAGGGATTGACCACAGACTGCCATGTGACCGATCGTCCTTTCGAGGAAATAAGGGACCACTTTCACGGGGTTGGGATCATCTTCCTGAACAGTAGGGAGGTGATCGGGTTCACGTCGCTTGCAAGCGAAGTACCACTTCGCTGTGAGGCACCCGGCCGATACACGATATTGAACGTCGAGTACGGAGTAGTGAGTACTGTGTACGCCGGCAGCTGTTCCAGCATTGTACGGAGTACGTACACCAGAGGTGATACCATTTTGACCACAGCCCCTCGAGTGAACCATTGTCGTGGGCCCCGGCTTGGCCCCATTTGTGTGATGTTTGCTTCCCGCCTTGCATAAGCGGAATATGTAGCCTTCTTCCGCGTGTCACATCGATCACGTGGGATGGAAATGACTATCGCGAGCAGGTCCACGGTCGAATGGATTCGTAGTCTCTTTCCATACTCTGTACTCGGGGGAGAAATCATGGAGTTCGTAGACGATTAATTTCACGAGACTTCAGCCTCGCGACATCAAGGGCAGACAATCTAAGCATTTCCATCTCTTGGCTAAAACGACGCAGAATCGTGAACGCACATTATCCTGCCGACGATTTATCCTGTGGTGTCGCCTTCGGTCTTGATAATAAGGCGGCATTTTCTCAGTGAATCCCCCATGCGCAAAGAACACCCTGGGCCGGGTCTGGTGCGATTCGTGGTACGGTGACGGTCGACCATGCTTTGTGAAGTGAGAGTTGGCACTGCCACCCGTATTATTAGGAACCCTGTTCGGAGAGATGATACTGGAGGGTTGGGGAACCTCGCAAATGGGGGCCATCAGTGAATGATCAATGATTGTCTGATTAAGAGACGAGATGCGCTGGGCTGCTGGCGGTAATGGGGAACCTTGACCGAGACATTGAACAGGTACTTGGCCGAGAGTTCACAACGATGAGACGTCTGCTCGGATGGATTTCTGAATGTGATTTCAATATGCGGGTGCAACAAGCCTGTTACTGCTATTTAGGAATCAAGAGTCCCTCGTGGAATGTCTCACAGTCCGGACTTCCCATGTACTGGCAGATGGAGATTAATTGACATGCCGAACCAGATTTTGACGCGCGCCTCAAGATGCGATGCGACATCGGTTGTCCGTCATCTTTGTAGCTGGTTGGTGAGAGGTAAGTGCCGTCCATCAGGAGTGTACGAGCACCGCGGGCTGGCTGTAACGGCGCATATACGGATAGAGCGAGCGTAGTAGTGTGATTATCCTGTCGCAGGCTCGCAGCAATGCATCTCGTGGACTGTGTATGGAACTACGGATACACTAGGTATCTCCGTTCAGGGCTTGCTTAGTTTGCGCAGCCTTCGGGGAGCGGCTTTGAACAATCCGGTCTTGTGTAAGCACCATCGCCTTGCTGATACCCACCATTGGACAGGCTCAAGGGAGCTATCATGGTAGGATCGTGTCCTGGATAGGCCAATCGATAGCGCTGACTGGACATCGTTGACGCATTTGGAAGAACCGGTGACCTGTAATATTCTTGGGTTGTTGGCTTGATGCAACGTTTCTAGAAGCCAATATTGGGTCTTCGTTTTCCAGGAGCAAGCTGGAGGCAAGACCGGAATGACCAAATCGGTATCCTTACGGCCATCAGAAAGAAGATACCTGCCTTGATCGTTGGTGATGTGGTCCTATTCGATAGGAGAAGGAAGGCTGAGCCCATCATCATCCATGTATCTGTACCCGTAGAATCTTGTAAGGCAAACTGGCGAGTCGGGGCCGCTCCGGAGACATTCGCTGTGGCGGCGCAGCGCACCGGTCGGTGGGTAAGATTAAGCTCCATCCCCCATCTCGCATCTCGTGTGAATAGCAGGGATGTTGAACGGGGATGCGGAGCATGGAATACCAGGGTTCGGCATATTTTGTGCAAGGCGAGTGCCGCGTGACGGCGCGTGACGACGCGTTGCGGTGTATGGACGATTTTGTGCGACGATGCATCCTAGTGTCGAATGCTACCGTCTCTTCCATAGTCCGAAGCTCAGGCCCGACTTAATCGTGAGATCGTGATTCTCGCCAGGATGAATATCCTGCAACCTCCAGTCGTTGTATAAATGCTTGATATTATGGGAAAAACCGCAGGCCCTAAGAAGGTTGCAGAAAATCCGGATCTATTGGAATCAAGCGGGGAGATGGAAATTAGGCCGCTAGACTTTGATCGCCCCATTTGCCAATTCGAAATAGGGGATAGAGTATCCGTCTCCCGGATCCAGTGTATGGCTACAATAGTTGACCGATTTGCGTGTTGCAAGCATCGTGACGATAGCCAGGGGCTGGAATAGGGGTTCACGAACCCTAGATTAATACCAAGGAATTGGCGACCGTCATCCTTGGTACGGAACTTTGGAAGCAGTGGAGCAGAAGAAGAAGAAGCGTCTCCCGGGTCTGAGTCCTTTTGTCGATCTCGCTCCGGGACGAATTGATCCTCACAGATTTGCATAGCTGAGACGTCAGGCGGCTCTCTGTGCCTTGAAGTCGACGGTCACTAGGAGCATCTTGGAGGACTAGGCGTGTAGATCTGGGCCCAGCGTGATGGCCCGAAGACGTCAGGGCAGGTGTGCCAGGTTCGCGTGCGAGGAGAACCTAGGCGTACTAGGCTGTTGTCGATGAAGATTCGAGTGGCACTATGGGAACACCGACGAACACCTCGTATCGTTGTTTCCTTTGCCTGGCCAGCTTTGCTTTTCGAGGTGACATTGCAGCAGCCAGCTTCTGAGCGCATCGCCAAAGGGATGCATTCGTGCTAGGTAGCTAGCGAGGCATCTGCAGGTACCTAATGTGTAACTAATTTCCTGACGCTGCGAAACGCCCCCGGATCCTGCGTAACCTCGATTTCTTGTCGAGAATCTCGGGTGTCGAGATATGTCATGATACTCCGTACGTACTTCGTAGAGACCAAACGAGATGGATATGGCCTGCGGGGGATGTTTTAGGGACCACCCGGCCTCGTCCGCTGAATAGTGCTAACATGCCCCACCATGAGTTGAGTCCAGAAATGTGAAGAGATGGCAATGGGCTGGCCCAAGGTACAAGTTTGAGAACCCTACTCCGTGAGTCCGTATGGCATTTGTCCTCTGTAGTTCGTGCGTACGGACACCTGTTTGGTGGACGGGAAATCATGGGAGTAAGGCGGCTGTGGATGGCGATGGAGGACAAAGACCCTGGACAATGTGCCACGCGAATTGGGTCCCACGTCCGAGGTGCTGGATCGTCAATGGATGGATGCGACAGGCACGGAATCGACCCGTCATGGCGGGTGTGCCGAAGGGCCTTTACTTTTGGTGAAACGGAACGGCGCGAGAGATGCGGAGTCTTTGTGCTGCCGGTGTCCTTGTATTTGGGAAGTCTTTATTACAACTTCATGAGGAATGCCAGACGACGCGAGATTCCTTTATTCCGTACTTTGTAATAGTCGGTACGGATAGGAGGGGTGACAAAGGGGGAGGGAGGGTCGCGGTCGATGATGGGGCTTCCAAGACAGGGGTAGGGAGCAGAGTCGTCGAGGGAAGACGGCGCGCGGTGTCTGACGCTGCAGACGCGGGCGGACTCGTGGAGCTGAAAGAAATGGAAGAGGCTCGAGGAGATGATGGTGATTGAAAGAGCGATTGCCCCAATGCCTCAGGCTTGCCAGGATGGAATTGCTTCTCTAGGAGCCCTGTGCTTGCGGTTTGCCCATGTCGGCGTTGTCTCAGCGGGTATGTTCCTGTGCTTGTGTTCCTTGTCGCGCTTGTTGTGCAGTGATTCCGTATCTCGATATGATGCGGAGGAATGGGGGCGGCATGCATGTTTTGCTGCAAGTGCTGCGAGTGCCTTGTCGACGACTCAGGGGGTGCTCTCTAATAGGTTGATACCACTGCGAATACACACCGTGGCTTGCTGGGAGTCTTAGGGGGGTCGGTTGGAACACAAGCCGGTGCCAATACAAGCAAGCAGGCAAAAGGAACAGAGTGGCCGACTATTAGGTTGTAGTTATGTGGTATCGCAGAGATGCGAAGCCAAAGTTTGAGTAGGTACGGAGTAGGTATTGGAGAGATATCTCGACGTTGGTGTTGGAAGTTTGGAACTGATTCTGATACTCAGTACGTACTTCTTCCACAGCAGATGCGTACCAGGGAAGTTGGGAAGGTCCAAGTACACAGCACCACAGTACTTGCTGCGTAAGGTCCTCCGTGAGGTACCTTGGGTATGCATGTCTTGCTCGCTGCCGGTGCAAATGGAAGGGGATTGGTGCGCGCTGCAGTAAGTACCTTGAGTACCGAATTTCACGGCGTGGACTCGTGGACTTGTGGAGAGACTCCCTTCGGCATTTCCTCGGTTGCCATTGGCTGCGATTGGCTCCCATTGCTGTGAGTGGAAAGTGTCGTGCGGCGTGCCTTCTCCATTCCTGCACAACACAACTATGGTGATGCAGGCACAGACAATCATGATTTTCCACTCTGAAAGATATACGGAGTATCCGTACGGAGACAACTTATGATTGGTCAGCCATACCTCAGTGCGGATGCTGTGAATCCGAAATCATGTCCCTGAGGTGTGTTGTGTTCGCTATTGAGTTCTCAGTCAAACTCCAACCCTCGAAACCTAATCCCGACACTCACCCACGGTTTGTCGCAGCTTCCTGACTCTGGTGGCGACGGGGAACTCTACCTACAGATACCCTACACCAGTGATGGGCACCGAAAGGCCGTCGGAGACAACACGACAAAAGTTTGAAGTTGATACGGTGTTCCAGGCGATAGCGGACCAGTCCCTTTGCATTGAAACCTACTCGATGACACCTCGAGTGAATGCTAGAACTACTTTGGTGAACGAACCACGCTGCTGTGAGTTCGTCTGATGCCCGCAATGACACAGCAGCATCGCCTTCTGGAAGAAGAGAACCCGTCGTTTTGTGTTTGGTTGTGTGGTTCAACGGCGTTACTTGAGGAACCCTTCCCGCCCGTCCACCGTTGGAGATCATCAGAGAGGTATACTCCGTACAGTGGCATGCTGGCCCGTTGTAATATCGTCGCACTGTCGGCTAGTCATGGCTGCACAGCTTGGATGCAGACTATTATATTGAGGGATAATTTGTGGATTTTGTGCGTGTTTCCTAGCAACGCACGGGACGGTGACGGAAAGACCACTCAAATTATGTTGGACCGGTGTGAGGCAACCACGCAACGGTAGGTCAGGAACGACAGGCACGAGGGGCTTCCTTCTTTTTGGCCTCGGGCGGCTTCTTAGATGGGGTGTGCCACTGCGCACCACCAGCCAGTGGCAGACGGCGCGATCGCAGCTGACACTGTGCTAGCGTCGCCGCCGGCTTTCTGTCTTTCTACCTGACTTGCTGACCTTGGAAGTTTCTGCCTATCTGGCCTATCCCACAGGCTGGGCCCTTCCCTCCCTCCATCGTTCTGGCAGTAGCCGTAGTCCCCGTGCCACCTTCCCGCCCCTCCCTCCCAAACGCAACCACGGACCACGGACCACAGACCGCGGGCAGACCACAGACCTCAAACCGTCTGTGACCCGACATCGCGAGAAGGTGCAACGTGCCTACAACTTGCGAGTAAAAAGGCAAGTGCGGTGCATCCCAAGTTTGAATCTTCCATTCCTGCTTGCCCCGCCTTCTGAAAAGGAAAATCAAAGGAAACACAGCTTGAAAGCCATATTCGGGCGAGCCTTCCAGGTTGAGAGATATGAAGGTACCTGCCCAGAGACTAGAAGCAGAGGAAGGTAAGCATCATACATCTCTCTCCTGCCGTATTATACAACATGGCACAATCGTGACTTCCCATTCTCTGGTTCGTGATGGGTACCTGCCAATGGGGCAATGGCAGAATTGACATTACCTTCCCTTTTTCTCTTTTCTCATCTTGACAGAATCCAGTAGTTTAATGCCCAAGGTACCCAAGCAATGCATTCGACGTTCAATCTTCTGGCACCACCCACCTTTCACATTTTTCCAGAGAACGGTGTCTGATGAGAGAGGTCCCTTCTTATGTCAATACATCCACCACTCGATCCACCACCACGCAACACGCACAAAGCATAAAGAACCACGGGCCATGGACCACTCATCGCAGGCCGATTGCGATTTCCCGGGCGACAGCGGCGACAACGGCGGTCGCGCCGCTTTGCTTCGTCTTGCCCCCTTTCTGTTAGATACTTCGAGGCCCAGTTAGTTCATCGTCGCTCGATATCTACGGAGCACTATACGACAGCACCGCCCCTGCCAAACGTGAAGCTCCAATATCCGTCGAGGATCCTTCGTCCCGCTGTGGACTCACTCAAAAGCCACGGTCCATCACGGCAGACAGTGTCGGAGCCGACTGCTGTCCAAAGATGATGACCCGTCCAGCTCGTGGTCGCGAAGATGGAGGAAGAAAAAGGAAGGAGGAAAGTCTGGAGAGTTGGACCCAGCCTTTGTCGAATACGGATAATTGGCTGTCCATCTACGGAGTACGGAGTATGGAGGTACTTGACTCCTTGGTCTATGCCTACGATTACCTACCTCAATGTTCAGGGTACCTCTGCCTCTACATACGGAGCCTGTAGTAGTACCTTGCCTTACAGTTCTGACTGTTCTGGAGACAGGTCCTTGCCCATTGGCAATCCAAGACCCAGGGTTATGGGCACGAGTACGAGCATGGGTATAGCATGGCAGGGCATGGCACTTTAGCTTCTCTTTTTTTCCAATCGACTCCCTCCGGCACGAGAGCCATCCTCCACGACCAGTCGACCATAGAGGAGTGTACGGAGTACAAAGTACGGAATTACATACCTGACCATGCCATATGAACACATATCACGATTTATTGCGGCCATCTGAGATGCACTCCTACGCGGAGCAAAACGAGACGAGCCGTTTCTTCACTGCTCTCACCATGCCCACCACAAGAATTACCATGGCATATCCACTTACCACGCACACACACCGCACCGCTCTCAGTTTGTCAGGGGTACCTAGCTCCGCGGTAATGCCTGGGCTCCTCCGTCTCCTTCCCGTCTGCCGCCTGCACCTGTGACTTGCACAGGGCAACGGGTAGTTACAACGGCACAAGCCATGTGCGTATCGGGCTCTGGGGGTCAGACGGTCAGACATTGTCATAGCCGTGGGCAACAGAGTCAGTGCCAGCGTCAACACGCAGCTCCTTCTCGCATCAACAACACTCTCTCGACACAAGACCGAGAGGTACATCAGCGGAACCAAGGGAATAAAGACTCTTGAGCCCCAGATGTTGCGAGATGACCAAACCTTACCGAGCTTGGGAACATATTCTAACGGAGCAGCAGGAGAGAAGCGAATGACGATGGCGCGGCCTGTTGAGAAAGATTTTGGAGGTGGCCATCCAGATGCGAAAGCACCCGGACCTCACAAAGTACGAACAGGTGTCTGGACTCTGTACTATGCCCTGTCGTCAAGACTTAGGGATGGGTCAACGGGCTCCCCGCCAGTCACGACGGACACGGAGGGGATAGGACAGAATATATTGAGACGGAACACCACCAACGCCATTGCGCCAAAGCTAATTAAGTATCCAGTGTGAGCCCATGGACCATGATAATAACAGACCCTGACCGACACCAGTATTACCCTGTATACTACGGATAGTGTAGTGAGTGAGTGAATAAGATGGAGAGGTACGAAGACTGACTGACTGACTGACTGGCTAGTTGAATGGGCGACAGTGGAATACCTTGGTAAGGTGCGAAGTACGGATAGCTAGGCTTGCTCCCGCACGTTGCTCTGGGCGAGCCGACTGGACCCCAGAGGTCATGGCATGGACCCCCAATTCCTCAGACAGCGGGCCTCAGGTGAGGGTGAAGGGGTTTGGAGGTTCCGAGATTCGCCATATCGTACGGAGTACAGAGGAAACCTTGGGCAGAGAACCCTTGCCGAACCGAAGGAGACCGGGGCATCCAGTCCAGCCAGACGGTGAAGACTTTCGTTCCCTCTCTGCGTCTGTCTATGCGCAGGTACTCCGTACTGCGATACTTTACAGAGACAGGTTCTAGTGGGTTGCACTAAGGCGAAGAAGAAAAGACACACTGACCTCGGGAATGTCAGTCCCCGCTGCCAGATGGACGGGCTATTAGCGGCGCTGTCAGTGTCAGATCTGAGGTCTGTTCATGCCCAGCAACCTCAGCTCAGGTAAGATACCTGAGGGTGCTAAGGTAGGCGAGGAATCTTGCTTGTACCGGCGTGAACTCATGTTGCCCTGAAGTTATTGATGCAGTTCCCCAACGGGTACTTTCCTGTATATGACTTGCTCTACCTTGGAGGAAGCTCAACCTAAGTCTCAAGCACAAAAACATACGGATACATAGACAAGACACGACTCTCATCATCATCAGTCGCCCTGGGCCATCCCCGACCCTGGTTCGCATCTGGCCCTGCCCTGTCAGTCTCCGGTGCTGGGTCCTTGACTCCTGGTCATGGAGACCTAGACCTCCTGGTAGAGGTATCCGTAAGGTGCGGGTAGTGTGGTGCAGACCGCAGAATGGGCTCCTCTATTTTCCAATTGTTCCCTCCACCGTCTCTTTCTGCCCTGTTAGTCATTCTCCTTGCCGTTGTGGTCCCTCCCGGGCCCTTGTCAAGCCTGTGTTCCTTTTGCCTTCTGCCGTTCGGGTCGTTGCCACACCCTTCTTCTTTCCCACACTGCCCTGGCTTGA